ATTAGCCAGGCTGGTCTCACAACTCCCGATCTCGGGCAATCCACCCGCCTCAGCCTCCCAAAACACTGGGATTACAGGCGTGAGCAACCGTGCTCAATACATCTCCTTCAATCAACTTCTGCACGGCAAGGGAAACAAACAGAACAAAGAGACAACATGCTGAATGGGAAATGATGTGTGCAAACTATTCATGATGAAGGACTAAAATCCAGAACACGTAACTAGCTCAAATAACCACCAATTAAAAACAACAAATAATCCCACTAAAAAATAGGCGAAGGACATCAAAAACATACAAATAGCCAACTGATATATAAAAAAATGCTCACATTGGTATTCACCAGGTAAGTGCAAATCAAAACTACGAGATACCTACCACCTTACCACAGTTAGGGTATCTATTCTCAAAAATACAAACAGCAGATGCTGACATGATGCAGAGAAAAGGGAACTCTTACACACTGAGGTGGGACTGGAAATCAGTAACGTCGTGATGAAAACCAGTATGGAGATTTCTCAAAACACTAAAAACAAAACTACTACAGGATCCAGCAATCCCACCACTGGCTATTTAACCAACATAAAAGAAACTAGAATATCAAATCAGTGTGCACTCACGTGTTTATCACAGCACTATTGACAACAGCAAAGATATGGAAGCAACCCAAGTACCCACCAATGAGCAGACAAGGAAAATATGGCAAATATATATATGGAATGCTCTTCAGCCAGAAAAAAACACGAAAGCGCCTTGTTTGCAGCAACATGGATGAAGGTGGAGGTAATTACGTTAAGTGAAATAAGCCAGGCCAGAAATAGAAAGAAAAACATCACACATTCTCACAGACTTGTGGGAGTTAAAAACAATGACGACAACAAAAAAAAAGTTGACCTTGGCTGGGCGCCGTGGCTCACGCCTGTAATCCTAGCACTTTGAGAGGCCGAGGTGGGTGGATCACCTGAGGTCAGGAGTTCAAGACCAGCCTGGCCAGCATGGGGAAACCCTAACTTTAAAAAAAAAAAAAAAAGTTGACCTTCTGAAAACAAGAGAATACAATGACAGGTATCAGAGGCTGGGAAGGGATGGGGGGAGGGAGGAAGAGAGGTTGGTTAATGGGTACAAATGTTCAGTTAGAAACAGTAAATTTTAATGTTCTATAGCAGAGTACAGTCACCACAGTTAGGCTGGAGTGCAAGGGCGCGAAGTATTTACCATATGATAGCAAATACATATTCTATATTTCAAAGTAGCTGAAAGAGAAGGCTAGAAATGTTACCAGTGCACGGAGATGATAAATCTTGGCCAGGCACGATAGTTCACGCCTGTAATCCCAGCACTTTGGGAGGCTGAGGCAGGCGGATCACCTGAGGTCAGGGTTCCAGACCAGCCTGGCCAACATGGTGAAACCCTGTCTCTACTAAAAATACAAAATTTAGCCCAGGGTAGTGGTGCATGCCTCAATCCCAGCTTACTCCAAAAGCTGAGGTGGGACAACTGCTTGAACTAGGGAGGCAGAGGTTACAGCAAGCCGAGATTGCACCACTGCACTTCAGCCTGAAAAACAGAGCAATACTCTGCCAAAAAAAAAAAAAAAAAAGATAAATACTAAAGGTGATGAATACTCCAGGTACCCCGACTTGATCATTACACACATTCTATGCATGTAACAAGTATTCATATGAGGCCAGGCATAGTGCCTCACGCCTATAATCCCAGCTCTTTGGGAGGCCGAGAGGGGTGGATCACCTGAGGTCAGGAGGTCAAGACCAGTCTGGCCATCATGGTGAAATAAAATCTCTACTAAAAATACAAAATATTAGCTAGGTGTGGTGGCACATGCCTGTAATCCCAGTTACTCGGGAGGCTGAAGCAGGAGAGGGCTTCATTCCGGAAAGTGGAGGTTGCAGTGAGCTGAGATCGTGTCATTACACTCCAGCCTGGGAAACAAGAGCAAAATTCCATATCAAAAAACAAACGAACAAACAAAAAAACAAAAACAAGTATTCATCATATGTATCCCACAAAGATGTAAAATAGTATGCATTAATAAAAGGAAAAGACTGCTAGGAATTTAGCAATGTATTTCTATGCAAACACTTAAAGCAGATATATAACATCTCAACATAAGTGAGAACATACAGTTACACAATTTGCTTCTCTTACAAAATGTTACATTTTCCCTGTAATACAGTAAGCCCTGGGCCCTCTTATTCCTTGACTCCACTTCTGGTATTCAACTAACCTCACATTTTAAAAATGTGATGGACCCACCGCAAAAGTTTAACCCAACCTTGACCTCAGAGTCTTCACAAATGCTCACTTAAGAAAATTTCCAGGACAACTCCGGGGCCTCTCTTCTGCTCAGAGATGTCAATAAAGAACCTTAGGAACACGACTTTCAACCCGTGTACCAAATTCCCGCCTTGCCTTCTACCAGAAGATTCATTCCAACCACTGGATAGAAGAGAATCTTCCAGGACATCAGAGATGGCTTGCCTTAGGAGTAGGCCAAGTAAGAACACTGCTATCTATGCACAAAGAAAATAGGGTAAAATTGAGATACCTGTTACTCAACAGATTTCCTTGGCCTGAAAAAGAACTAGTAGACACTGGCCTAATGGGAGTTCAAAACGCATCAAGAAGAGAACCATTCAAAGGTGGCTGCAGTTTCTGTGTGGATCATAGCCTGAGACCTCTACGACAGGGAATCATGACACCAAGCCAATTCAACCACTGACTATTATTCTTGTACTTTTCTTGCTGGTAATTGTATGTACTAGGTTGAGAATGCTACGCTATGCTAGGACAGCCTGTATACCAATAATCTTGATAAGGGGTTCTGTGATGTCTTTTGTTACCTTTTCCTTTCTACCGTGATACCAGTAATTTATAAGAGACCTATGTAGCTTGAATGTGGTTAACTTCAACATACTTTAGCTCTCCTCTCTGACGTGACCCAAAGAGCCAGTAGGTTCTAAGATTCCCATGTGTGTCAGAAGCCTGAAGCCCGTGAGATGCAGGCCAACATCAAGAGTCGAGTAAACCCACTTGCGGGGCAAGAATGTAAAGAAAACACTGGGTAGTTTGGCTACAGTATAATTAAAATTTCTTGTTTTCCAAAAGTTTGAACTCCAATAAAAGGACTTTCAATGTGCTATTTTTGCAATTTTCAGTAACAAACGACTGTATACCGAGATAATAAAACTGACATATTCAAGTAACATTAAAAAAAATTAAAAAAAAAAAAAAAAAAAAAAAAAGGCTGCACGATGAATCAGTTACGTGGCTTTGGCCCAGTACGGAGTGGAGCTCAATTTCAACCCAGATGCTTCTGACTTGGAAGGCCATTCTTCAAAGCATCTCTTTTCTAGTATTGTAGATATACATTCAGACTCCAGGTCTAACTCCAGGGACTACCATTTTTCCAGTTTTCACAATACCATGTCTTCTAACCTGAACAAAATACTTGCACAAAATAGTTGATTCTCTTCTTGCAATTTCTTTTTATTCAGGAAAAGGGAAAGACAACACATTTAATTAGGCATCCAATAAATATAAACAAATACAGTGTTAACATTTAAATGCTTTGTCAGCAAATATTATTTTAAATGATAAACCAAAAGACTGTGTATCTAACACACCAGAAAAAAGATGCGAGCAATTAAGGAGTGCAGCCATTCACGCTGTAACTACGTGCAATGAGGTAAGTCACTGGGAAGGGAAAACCACCTACATTTCTTCCAGTTAAAACCAAATTAATAACTCTGCGAGGAGGGTGGATCACGGTCAAGAAATTGAGACCAACCTGGTCAACAAGGTGAAACCCCGTCTCTACTAAAAATACAAAAATTAGCTGGGCATGGTGGTGAGTGCCTGTAGTTCCAGCTAATCGGGAGGCTGAGGCAGGAGAATTGCCTGAACCCAGAAGACAGAGGGTGCGGTGAGCCGAGATTGTGCCATTGCACTCCAGTCTGGGTAACAACAGCGAAACTCCGTCTTTAAAAAAAAAAAAAAAAAAAAGATATCCAAATGTGAGACACTACCCACAAAATGCAAAGGGGCACAGACAAGCCGCAGCAATATCAAGACCCCTCAGTTCACAAGTAAGGGAGACACACCATTATCTGAGGTATACTGTAAGGACACCAATGACCAACAAACATATGGCATTGCAATGGCGGTTTCAGGAAACATCCATTTACACTGTTTCCTGGATTTCAGGCATAAAAACATGACTAAAGACATATACCGGCCCTATTGCCTTGACAATTCATAACCATTGTAACAGATACCATTTCGCTACTCATAAGATTATAAAAGAATTGTATTTTTCATAAGACTCTACGACCTACTACCTGTAACTCTGACATACACATATCATACAACTGTAATATATAATTATCAAATCTGATACCAACGTTCTGTAAATTACCAGCTATTAACAATATTTTGGTGTTTGCCTGTTAACCAAGCTGAGGTGGGGGCGGGGGAGGGAGGTTGGAAGAAGCCTCATTTCACCTGCCCTTTCCAAAATTTCACTTCAAGGGTGTTCAAAAACTCAGTATGCCCAGGTAGAAATCTCCAAGTGTGTCTAATTTTCACTGCTTAACAAAAGCGATGTAGAAAGCAATGACTGTACCCTCCATCAATCTTTTCAGATTGCACAGAATTCCTTCCAGAAAATTCCAATTAAAAAAAGGTATTCCCGTTTTAGTATGAAAGTCGTCTTTCGCACAAGTCACTGGAGAGTGAAAGCCTTTAAAACATTTAAATGTTCCTGGTATTGGTTTCTGATGAACGTGATAATCCATATTTACCAAGATAAAAAACACTTCCACAACGTACGGAAAATCTCTCCAAAAACACAAAATCTAATTCAAAAATTACAAATAAAAAGAAAAATGTAAAAACAATTGCATAAACAAACTTTGACATGTGTATGGGTTGACATTACTGAAGCCATTACTCAAAAGAAACCTTTGTAAAATTGAGAACGCACTATCAATGCCGTAAGATGCTGGAGAAAGCCAAACCAGAGGGGATGCGCAGTCAGTCCCACATTGCAAATTTCAACACATTCGGCCCGGCGCGGTGGCTCACGTCTGCAATCCCAGCATTTTGGGAGGCCATGGCGGGTGGATCACGAGGTCAAGAGATCGAGACCATCCTGGTCAACATGGTGAAACCCTGTACTAAAAATACAAAAAGTTAGCTGGGCACGGTGGCGCACGCCGGTAATCCCAGCTACTCGGGAGGCTGAGGCAGGAGAATTGCCTGAACCCAGGAGGCGGAGGTTGCGGTGAGCCGAGATCGCGCCATTGCACTCCAGCCTGGGTAACAAGAGCGAAACTCCGTCTCAAAAAAAAAAAAAAAAAATGTCAACACATACATTCCTAGACAAATACATCCAATGTCACTTACTAAGGAAAAGAAAAGTGCGTGGCTCTCTCTAGAGCACGCACGTTTCGCTGCACGCATCAGGAAGGGGGCTGCACCGGCTCGAGGACCGGCCGGTGGGCGTTCCGGCAACCCAGAGCTTGCAAGAACCACGGCCATCCCCGGGCTCAGGAAGGGTGGCCCGAGGGCAGGCCCGCGTTCCCGGGGTGACCCAACCCGCCCCTCCCCTCGCCCCGGGATTAGGCAACTCTCTCCCTCCCCGCCCGCATTCTGGCGCAGCGCCCCCTCCCCGCGCTCAACTGCGCAGCGCCACCGCCCCGCCCGTGGGCCTCCCAGCTCTGCTTCAAACAAAGCGCGCGCTAAGGGGCCGGCAGCGGCCAGGAAGTGGGGACAGGACGGTGGCGACCATGTTGGCGCGGGGCGGCGGAGATGGGGTGACGGAGGAGTACGGGCCGGCGAACAAGGAACGCGTGCCGGCCCGGGTCTCCGCCGCGGCCGGGCCGGCACGGGGCGCGGTGTGGGCGCCGCCCGAAGGACAATGCTCCGGCGGGCCGCGCTCACCTGCGCCCCCGGCCAGGTCGCCGCACCCCCTCACGGGCCTGCACGACCCACGCTCGCCCCGCGCGGACCTTACCTGCTAGCCGCTGATGCCGCCGTCCACAGGCCCGCGGTTTCCACCGTCGCTCGTTCGCGCTCTCGCCGGCCCCAGCCGGAGCCAGAAAGCGCCTCCCCGTCCCCGCTCCCTCGCCGCGTTGGCCGCCGGCTCCCTAACAGTCAGAGGAGCCGCGCACTACGCCAGACCAACTGCAACAGCCGCCCAGCGCCTGGCGCCGACGGCCCATTACGCAGGCGCGGTGGAGCGGGGCGGGGCGATGGAGGGGGCGACTAAGGCGGGGCCGGAGCTCGGGATTTCCGGGTGCGCGCTGGGAATGGGCGTCGGCAGGAGCCCGGAGCCCTGTAGCCTGCGGGGGCGCAGCTTCTCCCGGAGGGCAGGCAGCCGGAGAAGGGCTTCGTTTTCCCGCAGTAGGATTTTCAGGAAAGGACAGGGCCGGGCGCAGTGGCTCACGCCTGTAATCCCAGCACTTTCAGAGGCCGAGGCGGGTGGATCACGAGGCTAAGAGATCGAGACCATCCTGGTCAACGAGGTGAAACCGGGTCTCTACTAAAAATACAAAAATTAGCTGGGCTTGGTGGTGCGTGCTTGTAATCCCAGCTACTCCGGAGGGTGAGGCAGGAGAATTGCTTGCACCCAGAAGGCGGAGGTTGCGGTGAGCCGAGATCGTGCCATTGCACTCCAGTCTGGGTAACAACAGCAAAACTCCGTCTCAAAAAAAAAAAAAGGAGATCGAGACCATCCTGGTCAACAAGGTGAAACCCCGTCTCTACTAAAAATACAAAAAATTGGTTGGGCATGGTGGCGCGTGCCTGTAATCCCAGCTACTCGGGAGGCTGAAGGAGGAAAATTGGTGGTGCAGGGAACATTTTTCTGTTAAAAACAAAACAAAAAATAAAACCAGCCACCAAACGCTGAATCTCTGCAGCCCTGGCTCTGGAGCCCTGGCTGAGCACCAGCTGTGTACCATGCCTTTAGGGGCCTCTGCCAGTGAAGAGCAGAGGGTGAGGGCATGGCTCTGCCTCCAGGATCCCCCTGCCCATCTGGAGAACACGGACAAGGACTCTGATGCAGGGCGTGGGACAGCACCAGGCCAGCTGAGAAGAAGAATCAGGCCCGGGGCTGAGAGGCCTCCCCAGCTGCTGCCACCCTTGAGGTCTGTGGGTTATTCTAGGTCCCACCAGGCATGGAGTCACAGAGCAGAAGTTCTTCCTACGGGGATTCTCTTACCGCTGCTCTGAGCACTTCAACAACAAAAAAAATAATCCTGCCGCTAACATCTCCCCATCACTTTGCTAATTCTCTTCTTTCTAACAAAATTCTCACAGGCCCTCGACTCCAGACTGCACAAGCAAGAGCATCTGGCAAGAATATCATGATATTTTTCGCATTTCTTGTGCTTATTTTCATAATTTTGTTTTTGAGACAGTCTCATTCTGCCTCCCAGGCTTGAGTGCAGTGGTGCTATCTCAGCTCAACCTGTAACCTCTGCCTCCTGGTGATTCTCCTGCCGAAGCCTCCCGAGTAGCTGGGACTACAGGTGTGTGCCACCATGCCTGGCTAATTTTTGCATTTTTTGTAGAGACAGGGTTTCATCATGTTGGCCAGGCAGTCTTGAACTCCTGACCTCAGGTGATCTGCCTGCCTCGACCTCCTAAGTGCTGGGATTAGAGGAATAAGCCACCTTGCCCAGCCTTTCTTTTCTTTTCCTTTTTTTTTTTTTTTTTTTTTTGAGACAGAGTCTCACTTTGTTGCCCAGGCTGGAGTGCAGTGGTGCGATCTCGGCTCACCACAACCTCTGCCTCCTGGGTTCAAGTAATTCTTCTGCCTCAGCCTCCTGAGTAGCTGAGACTACAGGCCTATACCACCATGCCCAGATAACTTTTGTATTTTTAGTAGAGATGGGGTTTCACTATGTTGGCCGGGCTGGTCTCAAACTCCTGACCTTGTGATTCACCGGCCTTGGCCTCCCAAAGTGCTGGGATTACAGGGGTGAACCACTGCACCTGGTCCCCAGCCTTATTTTCATAATTGTTTTCATGATAAATGATACAAGTTTTCCATGTCTGCTAATGATATAAAGTTTCCTCTGTGCAGAAACAGGTTTAGTTAAGGAAAAACGTGGGCAGAAAGTCCACCTAAAAGATATTTTAAGGAAGACAAAACACAGATGGCACAAAATCCAAAGCTGCCCGGAGTTTGGTAGACTCAGGAGCCACGGTGAAGAGGGCAGACTCCAGATCAGAGGGCCTGGGCTTCCATTCTGGCTCTGACTCTGTGATTTTAGGTAAGTCGCTTGCCTTCTCTGAGCTCTGTGCTTTATCTGTAAAAGAAAAGAAAATGGTAACACCTCATTCCTACTGTGATTTCTGAGAATTCAATAAAACAATGCTGAGAAAATAGCCCAGTGCCAGGCACATGAGTTGCATTTAAGGCTTTCAGAACAAGATGTATGCTACTTTTATTCCTGTTAGGAAGCTGAGGCCCAGAGATATCACCTAGCCCATCCAAGGTTGCACAGCTTGTAGGTGGTGGAGGTGGAACCAGACCCACAAAGTTCTAACGTGAGGTTGGGATTTGTGCTCTTTATCCACTATGCTGCTATTGGCAGATCCATCCATCCACCCATCCATCCCTCTACCCATCCATCCATCCATCCATCCATCTATCCATCCATCCATCCATCCATCCATCCATCCATCTATCCACCCATCCATCCATCTACCCATCCATCCACTCATCTATCCATCCATCCACACATCTATCCATCCATCCATCCATCCATCCATCCATCCAACCATCTATCCATCCATCCATCCACCCATACATCCATCCGTCTGTCCGTCCATCCATTCATTCACCCATCTGTCCATTCATCCATCTGTCCATCCATCCATCCGTCCATCAATCCATCCGTCCATCCATCTACCCACCCATCGATCCATTCATTCATGCATCCATCCATTCATCCACCCATCCATCCATCCATTCATCCACCCACATATACATTCATTCAGTCAGTCAGAATTCATGGACTTGTTCTGAGTTCATGGTGTTTTCTCAAAAAGCAGCAAAGTGCAGAGGTTCCCAGAGTAGGTTTAAATCCCAACCTGCCATGTACAGGCCACCTGGGCAAGTTGTCCCACCTCTCTGAGCTTGCCCATCTGGAAGAGGGAAACATTCATAGCCCTTTGAAGTTCCCGCAGGAGGTAGAAGACCATTTTCCGGGACTTCACAGTGTCCTGCATGCCCTGCTCTGCCAAGTCTCAGTGAGTCAAGCCCCACCATATGTCTGCCTCATCCTGCCTCCCTTCTCCCTTTCACTCCACTTTAGTCAGACTCAGCTACTGGGGTTCCCTGAACAGCCCCAGGGCCTTTGGACGCTTTTTTCCTCCAGCCTGAAATGTCCTCCTGCTTCCATCTGGTAGCTATGATTCCTCCCCAAAACATCAGGTGGGCTTCTCCCTCTGCCGCAGGTGCATCCCCTGAGGCTGGACCAAGTTCTCCCCTTCTGGGCTCCCCCAGTACCCCGCTTCTCTGACATGGAGAGGCCATGGATGTAATAACTTAGACAAATTCTTATGCTTCGCCACAGGCCACCTTCTTGGTCATAAATGTCTGCTTCCCTTCTTTCATGCAGGTACATGCACCCCTCTGCAGACGAGACCACACACGTTTAACACAGTTGTGGCATGAGATCTGAAGGCGTGAGATCTACCTTCCTGCCCCCAGCATGAAATGGTGAAACAGCATTTCATTTGGCTGGTGACCTCCCCTGGACTTAGTTACCACCTCTGCAGAAAGGGGGCAGTAACAGGACCTGCAGCACATCTGTTGTCATGAAGACCACATGCGCTAATACACGTGGGAAGCCTTTAGCACAGCGCCTGGGAGAGCATAAAAGGCTCGGTGCAAGGCAGAAGAAAGGCGTGTCCTGGTATGACAGGGCCCTTCCGACCAGGGCTGGTACTAAGGTGAGAGAAGCCAGGTGCCTACAGTGCAAAATGTAAGGCAGCATTCACTCTGAGAGCAGCGCACCTCCAGCTGTTGGCGCCCAGTAATTGAATGTATCTAAGTTGCTTGCTGCTGAATCTGCAGAGCCACAGAGCAGTCCCGCTCGCCCCCTGCTGGTCGCTCTGCAAAACGACATCCCTCCCTCTGCTCTCCGGAGCCTCGGTTTCACCTGTAATTATGGTGGGGTAGGAGAATCTGCCTCTCAGTTTGCAGGGCAAACAGAAGGCATTCCTCAAACATCAGTGTCCTCCCCTCAACGCCAGCACGTAATGAGCACCTGCTATGTGCAAAGGACTGAGGATGACTGAGACATGACCCCTACCCTTCAGGGGTTTGGGGGTGGAGAGCAGAGGAGGAGAAAGGCTGGGAACAGGGACTAAAGTAAGACACTTGTCCCTATGCAGCACCTACTGCTTACCACAGAGCAGTCAGAATCACTGCCCTGGCCCCTGTTCATCTGCATATGTTTACTAAGCACCTACTGTGTGCCTGAGCCCAGACTTAGCTGAGGGTTTACATAGATTAAGGTTTTTTTGTTTGTTTGTTTTTTTCTGAGACGGAGTTTCACTCTTGTTACCCAAGGTGGAGTGCAATGGAGCGATCTCGGCTCACTACAACCTCCGCCTCATGGGTTCAGGCAATTCTCCTGCCTCAGCCTCCTGAGCAGCTGGGATTACAGGCACGTGCCACCATGCCCAGCTAATTTTTTGTATTTTTAGTAGAGGCGGGGTTTCACCATGTTGACCCCGATGGTCTCGATCTCTTGACCTCATGATCCACCCACCTTGGCCTCCCAAAGTGCTGGGATTACAGGCTTGAGACACCATGCCCGGCCAGGATTAAGGTATTTAATGCTGTCAGAACACAATATGGGTGCTCTTTTTATTTCTGTTAGCAAGCTGAGGCCCAGAGAGGTCATCTAGCCCATCCAAGGTTGCACAGCTTGTAGGTGGTGGAGGTGGAACCAGAACCCACAAAGTTCTAGTGTGAGGCTGGGATTTGTTCTCTTTAATTGCTCTGCTGCTATTGACAGATCCATCCATCCACCCATCCATTCATCTAACCATCTAACCATCCATTCAACCATCCATCCATCCAACCATCCATCCATCCGTCTGTCCATCCACCCGTCCATCCATCCACCCACCCATCCATTCATCCAACAAATATTCATTGAACACCTACTGAGTGCCAGATGCAGTGCTGAGTGCTGGAGAGATGCCAGTGACCAGAAAGACAGCCCATCCCTGCCCCCAGCAGCTGCTCACATGGTGGAGATGGGCAATAAGCAAGACAAATAAGTAAAATGGCACTTGGTGATTCTTGCTGAACATAAAAATAAGAGTATAGGCTGTGCACAGTGGCTTACACCTGTAATCCCAGCACTTTGGGAGGCTGAGGTAGGAGGATCACCTAATCCCAGGAGTTTGAGACCAGCCTGGGCAACATAGCAAGACCCTATCTCCACTAAAAATACAAAAAATTAGCCAGGCATAGTGGCTCACGCCTGTAGTCCCACCTACTTAGGAGACTGAAATGGGAGGATTGCTTGAGCCTAGGAGTTTGAGGCTGCAGTGAGCCATGATTGTGTCACTGAACTCCAGCCTGGGTGACAGAGCAAGACCCTGTCTCAAAAAGGCTGGGCACGGTGGCTCACGCCTGTAATCCCAGCACTTTGGGTGGCTGAGGCAGGCAAATCACTTGAGGTCAGGAATTTGAGACTAGCCTGGCCAACATGGTGGAACCCCATCTCTACTAAAAATACAAAAACTAGCTGGGCGTGGTGGTATGCACCTGTAATCTCAGCCACTCCAGAGGTTGAGGCATGAGAATCGCTTGAGCCGGGGAGGTGGAGGTTTCAGTGAGCGGAGATCACACCACTGCACTCCAGCCTGGGTGACAGAGTGAGATCCTGTCTCAAAAAAAAAAAAAAAAAAAAGGCACAGAAGAATGAGAGGGTGGGGCTGGCTGGATTGTGTTTCAATTTTAAATCATGGGGTGAGGCCTTGAGGGCCATTTAGGGACCTTGGCTCTCACTGGGAGTGAGGTGGGAGCCATGGAGTGTTCTGAGCAGAGGTGGAGCGTGGCCTGACTTCGGCTTTTACAGGAGCACTCCACAAGGAGGCCGGACTGTTAGGACCCAGGGTGGAGGTGACTGCACACAGGACACCGGCTGGGCTTGGTGGGGCCGTGGAATGGGGAGACAGAGTCTGGATGTATCCTGAAGGTGGAACCGACAGGATTAGCTGGTGGATGGGACATGGGGGTGACGGACAGCCTCTGGGGAGGGTTGAGCTGGCTGGCCTTAAGGCCAGGCAGGCTGTGGGCAGGGCAGGCTTCTGCGGGAGATAAGGACTAGGTTGCAGATGCATTCACCCTGAGTTGCCCGGCAGTGTGGACGTGGATTTTGGGTTTTCCCTCGTGTTGAGTGGCACACGCTCGCGTGTCATCATCACGTGGGTGCTACAGGAACGACCTTTCCCAAACCCATGCTCCTCGCGACTGCTGCGATGCCCCGTACAGCCGCCAGGGGGCGCCCCAGCCCTGGGACTCGCAGGGACCTGGTCATTCTCAGGACGAGCTGCCCTGCGCGGGACAGGAGGCTTGGCCGCACCCTTGGCCTCCGCTCACTGCTCACTCGAAGTTTGTTGCCGCCTTCCTTCCCCACCCGCGCCGTGTGACAGCTAAACTGTCTCCAGACATTGCCAGGCGCCCCCTGGAGGGGAAAATCGCCCCCACGGCAGTCGGAGCCATGGCCTGCTGAACCACATTCATTTACTGAGCTCCTATGTGTTGTGTGCCAGCGCCTACTGTATTCCAGCGCCTACTGTGTGCCCGCGCCTACTGTATTCCAGCGCCTACTGTGTGCCCGCGCCTACTGTATTCCAGCGCCTACTGTGCCCGCACCTAGTGTACCAGCGCCTGTGTGCCCGCGCCTACTGTATTCCAGCGCCTACTGTGTGCCCGCGCCTACTGTATTCCAGCGCCTACTGTGCCCGCACCTAGTGTACCAGCGCCTACTGTGTGCCCGCGCCTACAGTGTGCCAGCGCCTACTGTGTACCCGCGCCTACAGTGTGCCCGTGCCTACTGCGTACCCGCACCTGTGTTCCAGCGCCTACTGTGTGTCCGTGCCTACTGTGTTCCAGCGCCTACTGTGTGCCCGCGCCTACAGTGTGCCCGTGCCTACAGTGTGCCCGTGCCTACAGTGTGCCCGCGCCTACAGTGTGGCCGTGCCTACTGTGGGCCCGTGCCTACTGTGTTCCAGTGCCTACTGTCTGCCCGCGCATACTGTGTTTCCGCGCCTACTGTGTGCTCTGCGCCTACTGTATGCTAGCGCCTACTGTGTGCCAGTGCCTACTGTGTTCCAGCGCCTACTGTGTGCCAGCGCCTACAGTGTGCCTGCGCCTACTGTGCCAGCGCCTACTGTGTGTCAGTGCCTACAGTGTGCCTGCACCTGGGCTCCACAGGGGTTCACAGGGGTGGCTTGTCGCCTGTCCCAAGTGACGTGCACCAGCAGGAGTCATGCGCCCAGACAAAGTTGGCCCAAGATGACCGCGTAAGGCAGCCACGCGGGACAGTAGAGCACCAGAACCAAGTGCATCTACCCCACGGGGGAGGGGAGCCCTGGTGCCTCCAGGTTTGCCGTTTATTAGCTGTGTGTCCTTGGGCAAGTCGCAAGAGCTCCCTGAGCCTCAGTTTCCCCATATGGATAATGAGGTAGGAGTCCATTTTGGAGCCAGGTGCCAAGATGGGGTCTGAGACCAAGCCAGGGCAAGACCACTGCTCCCTCCAGGGGGTCACAGGCTGGGCGAATAGCACCTGCCGCATGAACACTGCCTGTGCCAAGCACACCTGAACCCCGACGTTTCCCAGCTTACGTTTTCTCCATATCATGGCTGATACACTAATTATTTTACTCATTTCTCTGGTTGATCATCAGGCTCCCAACTTGAGAATGTGAGCTTCGCGAGGCCAGAGACTTCAGTCTAAATTGTTTGCTGCTGAATCTGCGGAGCCAGGAGTGTACCTGGAACACAGTGGTGGCTCCATCCGCTTGGACAAATACATTTGGGGCTTCCCATTTTGCCTCGATATAGTTCAACCTACATCAGATGATGCTGTGCCTTGGAGCTCTCCTTACCCAGAGTGAAAGCCAAAGTTCTCCACAGGACCTGTAAGGCCCTACCTGGTCTGTCCCTGTCCTGTCCCTATCAGACCTCTTCTCTCCCCACTCTTGCCCTCACTCACCCTGTGCAGACACACCAGCCCCTCATGGCTCCTCATACTCCTGCCTCAGGACCTTTGCACATGCTGATCCTATGGCTGGAACCCCCTTTCCCCCAGATATCAGTATGATTTCTCCTTTTCATCCAGGTTTCTGTTCAGATGTCACCACCTCCAGAAAGACCGTCTAGACACACTCCACTCAATGACCTGAAAGGATCTTGCTGAAATGTTAATTTATTACATTTTGGATTTTTGTTTTGTTTTGTTTTGGAGACAAGGTCTTGCTCTGTTACCCACGCTGCAATGCAGTTGCACAATCTTGGCTCACTATAGCCTCAATCTCCTGGGTTCAAGTGATCCTTCCACCTCCAAGTAGCTGGGACCACAGGTGTGCACCACCACACCCAGCTAAATTTTTTTGTTTTTTTAGTGGAGACAGGATCTCACTATGTTGCCCAGGCTAGTCTCAAACTCCTGGGTTCAAGGGATCGGCCCGCCTCAGCCTCCCCAAGTGCTGGGATTATGCCACTGCGCCCAGCCTAATGTTAGCTTCTTTATTGTCTGTCTCCCCTACCCAGCCCACAAACCCTGCCCTCTTGGAGTGCACCTTCTAGTGAGCCAGATGGGCACCTCTTTGAAGTGGTGGCATTTGAGTTGTGCCTTGAAGGACAGATGCTGCTGATCATGGCGGAAATTGAAGAAAGGTCTTTCCTGGCAGAGGGAACAGGCAGCGCAAAGGCCTAGGGGCTGCTCAAGTCCCTGCTATAGAGCACTTAGAGTGTCCTGCCTAGTGGGTGATGAGTCCCCAGGCTACACACAGCTGCTGGAAGAGTGCCCCAAGTCATCGGAAAGCCATGTGGTGTGGACAGGAGCCGGGCAGGCTGGACACACAAAGGCCCATTGACAGCCACATGGGAAGGGCCCAAGGCAGCTCCCTCTTGTCAACTCCCAAGGAGCTTTGGGTGGAGACAATAGAAAGGCCAGAACTTCTCAGGAGACTCAGGTTTCCCTGGGGTGGGGAGGAAACGCAGGCAGCTTGGTCACTGGGACATGCAGGCAGCCTTCTGAGGCTTCTGCAGTCCCCAACCCTGATTCTAAGTCTAGCCCTGCCTCCCACAGTGGCCTTGACCGTGTCATGCTCCCTCTCAGAGCCTAAATTCCCTCATCTCTAACACAAGGTGAGAGCCGGGTGCAGTGGCTCACGCCTGTAATTTCAGCACTTTGGGAGGCCAAAGTGGGTAGATCGCTTGAGTCCAGGAGTTTGAGACCAGCTGGACAACATGGTGAAACCCCGTCTCTACAAAAGATACAAAAATTAGCTGGGCATGGTGGTGCATGCCTGTAGTCCCAGCTACTCAGGAGGCTGAGGTGAGACAATCACTTGAGCCCAGGAGATCGAGGCTGCAGTGAGCCAAGATCTTGCCACTGCACTCAAGCCTGGGCAACAGAGCAACACTCAGTCTAAATGAGTGAATAAGTGAATGAATGAACAAATCAATTAATTAAATGGGGTGAAACATAGAAGCAACCTTCCTGCGATGGTGTGAGACTGCCTGGGTAGAGTGGTGGGAAGCAGGCCTGACCCAGCAGGTGTTTAACAGCAGGTGGTCAGCTATGGTGGCTGGCTGGAGTGGCCGTCTGTGGCGGTCAGTAGTAGTGGTCAGCCATAGTAGTCAGCTTTCCTGGTTGTCTATCATGACACTAAGCATGGAGATGCGCAGGTGAGCCTGGCTGGGGTTTCGGTCAGACAGACCTGGGTTCCACAGATCTCCTGCTTTCCAGTGTGGGGTGGGTACAATCTCCTTTGCCCAAGCCTCAGTTTCCCCATCCATCAGATGGGGATAATGAGAGCCCCACACAGGGCAGTGACTGCAAAGCACCCAGCACAGAGGCCCCAGCATGATTATAGAATGTTCCAGGGCTTTGGAGGGCAGCCTGGGAAGAGCAGGCTAAGGAAAGCACAGGCCTCCCAGCTGAAGCAGATCTTCAGAGCCAGCAGGGGAAGGGTGGCTGCAAACTAGCAGGAGCTGAGCCTCCCTCCATGGGCAGGTGGGAAGCATGAGGCATGTTCCCAGGCTGATAATAGGAAGCATTTCTGGAAAGGCCCAGCTGAATAGTGAAGAGAACAGAGCAAAAATGTGAAGAATGCAGACCTAGGGTCAGCCTGCTGGGCTCAAGTCCCCTGGACTAGCTATGTGCCCTTGGGCAAGTTACTAAACCTCTCTGTGCCTTGATTTCTTCATCTGTGAAACAGGGACGAGAACATCCCTACTAGGCTACGGAGTTGATGACGTCCTGATGAGAGACCACTTCTACAAAGAATGGCCCATAGGCTGAGGGCCTGAAACAATGACACGGACCAGGCATGGTGGTGCGTGCCTGGAGTGCCAGCTACTCCAGAGGCTGAGGTAGGAGGATCGCTTGAGCCCGTGAGGTTGAGGCTACAGTGAGCTGAGATTGTATACTGCACTCCAGCCTTGGTGACAGAGCAAGTCCCTGTTTCAAATAAATAAATAAATAAATGATGTTGGACTGAGAGAGAATCAACACCCACCCAGGCTCAGCGGGGAACATACGTGGGCAGGGCCAGGAAGAGCCAGGAGGAATCTGGGGCAAGCCCTGCATGTTTGTGTGAGCGCAGCCAGGTGTCAGGGTAGGGGGGCAGCAGGAGCAGAAACCCTGAGAATATAAAACAACTCGGCAGCAGTGGCAGTAGCCTCCGGGACCCTGAGAGCTACTAACACAGCCAGTGGGACCCACGCAACAAGAGCAAGCGTTCTGAGATCAGAAGTGTGGACTTTGGCCTGGGGCAACAGGACGCTACTGAAGATTCGGAAGTCAAGGGTCAGGACCCTCCTACCCTGAGAGTTGATATAACTAGGATACTCCACAGTTTCACCCCTAGCACCTACCTTGGGGTCTGCCACACGGTAGGTGCTCAGGGAAATAATTTTAAATAAAGAAATGCATTAATGAGTGAATGAGAAACTGGCTAGTAAAAGCTGCTCTTATTTTGCCCTTCTTCACCCACATAGCACAGGGCACCTCCAGGGACCTGGACACAGAGGGACCAGCAAAGCCGAATGTCTGGAGTAGGAACGAGCTCAAGGAGACATAGACACAGTGAGGAGGCCAGAGCGGCTGGAATAGGAAAACAAAGGGAGCGTTGGGAGGGGAGGCCCCTCGGAGATGAGGCGGACTCCTCAAGGCCTTGCCGGTAGGGAATAGGGCTTCCTTCCAAGTGCAGTGGGAGCCTCCAGAGGGTTTAGTAGTTTTTTGCTTTTTTTTTTTTTTTCCCAGACAGGGTCTTGCTCTGTCACCCAGGCTGGAGTCCAGTGGTGCGATCTCAGCTCACTGCATCCTTGACCTAATAGGCTCAAGGGATCCTCCTACCTCAGCCTCCTGAGTAGCTGGGACTCCAGGCACCCACCACCACACCTGGCTAATTTTTTTACTTTTTGTGGAGATGGAGACTTGCTATGTTGCCAGGGCTGGTCTCAAACTCCTGAACTCAAGCGATCCTCCTGCCTCAGCCTCCTAACATGCTGGGATTACAGGCATGAGCCAACACACCCAGCCAGTTGCATTTTAAATCCTATCAAAGAGTGTAGGCATTATTATCATCCCCATTTCACAGATGAGGAAACTGATGAGCAGAGATTGAATGATTTACCTAAGGTCACACAGCTGCGTAGAGACCGTGCCAGGATTCAGCCCCAGCCCACTGGGCTGTGGGATCTGCAGGGCTGGAGAGGATTGAACGATGCCAGCTGGAGGCCGCACAGGTCCCCATCTGCTAAGCCCTGCCCTGTGACCTAGGTGACAGTGGGTGTTGGCAGGCATGAAGGACCTACACCGTGGGAATGTGGGGAACATGACCAGGCCCTGCTGAGTCACCAGGCCTGGCCGGAGCTAACCTCCAATGGCTGGGAGCCGCCCCAGGGTCCGTCCTTGGTGCCCTGCCCAGCAGCTGCCAAGCACAGCCACTGACGCCTGGGCTGGATGTCCCGAAGAAGCCAGAGTGACAAACAACCCCCAGATCTGCCCTCCTCCCTTTGCTGTGTGGCCTTGGGCAAATCCCCGGCCCTCCCTGGCCTGCAGTGCCCCTGCTGTCTGGCTCAAGCCCCAGGCCGCAGTGCTCCTCCCTTTGTGCTGGGTAGAATCCTGGCCAATTCCTGATACTGAGTTTGGAACAGGGCAGAAAGGCAGGACGGATAAATACAGGCAGTGGGGAAGCTGTGGGCCTCACAGGACTAGACTCCTGTGGGTGTAGCAGAGGCCAAGCCTACCTCATCAGAACCCCAGGGGCCGAGGCTCCACCCAGATAACAGGACACAAGAAGAGAGCGCTTCCTAAGCAGAAATCAGCTTCTATAAGCAAAATAGATAGGGCAAGCCAGCTAGCATTTATTGAGCACTTAATATGTGCTAGGCATTCTACAGCTATTATCTAACTTAATCTTCTTAATAATGGATGAGGATGATGATGCATGGTGATTCCCATTTTGCAGATGAGGAAACTAAGACCTAAAGAGGTAAAGCCCTGGCTGGGAACAGTGGCTCATGCCTGTCATCCCAGCACTTTGGGAGGCCAAGACAGGCAGATCACGAGGTCAGGTGTTTGAGACCAGTCTGTCCAATATAGTAAAACTCCATCTCTACCAAAAATACAAAAATTAGCCTGTAGTCCTGGCTACTTAGGAGGCTGAGGCAGGAGAATAGCTTGAACCCAGGAGGCGGAGGTTGCAGTGAGCTGAGACCACCACTGCACTCCAGCCCGGGTGACAGAAGGAGACTCCATCTCAAAAAAAAAAAAAAAAAAAGTAAAGGCCTTGTTCAAGGTTCCCAAGCCAGGAAGTGGCAAAGCCAGGGTGAAATCCAAGTCCGTGTCATTCCAGAGTCCCTTTCCCTGGACCTCAGATTCTAAAGCTCTAGTCCCCCCCAGCCCCCCAGTAAAGTACAGCATTCAGAACTGAGCCTCAAGGGACCAGCCAGGCCTGATCGTGAACTTCGGAGCAAGGGAGGATTGTCAGTGCAGTGAAGTGAGTCTGGTGGGGCCTGATGGCCTCCTGGGGACAGCCTGGGACAATCACAAATGGAAGCTGCCTCTGTGCTGGAGCCTGCCCTGTCCTGGGGATCTCTCCCACCCAGGACGAGCCCACCTCAACATACAAGTCACCTGGGGCCCACGTAGCCCATTTTAGGGATGCAAAACCCAAGGCCCAGAATGTCCCTGTAACGTGCCCAAGGTCTCATAGTGAGCACACGGTTGGTAATACTGGAACCCAGTTGCCTCTCTCATGCAGCCTCAGTTTCTCCTCCTCCCAGGATCTCCAGTGTTAAAAAACATATGATGAGGCCAGGCGCCGTGGCTCACACCTGTAATCCCTGCACTGAGGGAGACCACGGCGGGAAGATCACCTGAGGTCAGGAGTTCAAGACCAGCCTAGCCAACACAATGAAACCCGGTCTCTACTAAAAATACAAAAATTAGCCAGGCATGGTGGCGGGTGCCTGTAATCCCAGCTACTCAGGAGGCTGAGGCAGGAGAATTGCTTGAACCCGGGAGGCAGAGGTTGCAGTGAGCCGAGATTGTGCCATTGCACTCCAGCTCTCCGAGACAGAGTGAGACTCTGTCTCAAAAACAAACAAGCCAAAAAAAAAAAAAAAAAACAACCCTACAATGTGCTCCCTTGACCCTGGTCATCTTCCAACAAGCGTCCAGTGCTCCGCCCTGCCTATGGCTGAACTTCTGGTGGAAGCGGTGCATACTCCTCCACCCACTTCCACACCGCCACCCTCTCCTTGGTGACCTTGAGCAGGCCTCCAGCCTCTGTGCCACCAAATGGCTCTTGGCGTTGCCATCCTTGCTGCCAAGTCCCGCCATGGGATCCCATACTCATAGCCACTTCTCAGCAGCGTCCGACACTGCTGACCGCCCTCTCCTTCCCGAAACATCCTCCTAGAAACGCCTCCATTCCTGACACTAGATGCTCCATGGGTCCTGCCCCTCCTCCTCCTTCCTGGCAGTTCCACTCTGTGACATTAAACAAACGTGTGTTCTGATACATCTCAGACTCCCAACAGCATCCTTGATCTCCCTCCAGGGCTCTGGACTTGAATGTCTAATTATCTATTTGAAATATCCTAAAAACACACCTTGGTTTCCCCTAAAGACTTATTTCATTCCTCCCTCCTCATCTCCACACTCCAATCTTTGGTCCTCAGTGACACCACCCTGTAGTTCAAGCATCAAAGTGAGGCTATCATTCTCAAGGCCTGCTTTCCCTCCCACCACCTCCAAAATTTGTCCTGAGTTGTCCATTTCTCTGTAATTCCATGGCCACCGCCCCGGTCCAGGCCGGTACCATCCTCGCCCTTGACCTCCTTGCTGGATTTTTGCTGCTACATTTGCTTCACACGCAGCCAGGGGTAACTTTCAGAAATATAAATCAAAACATGTCACTTGCTGAAAACCTTCCAGTGGCGTCTGGCTGTGTTTCCAAAAACTCCGAAGTCCTCACATTGGCCTCCTAGGCCCCATCCTCCTCTCCAGACTTCCCTCCTCCCTTCCTCTTCAGCCACACTGGCTTCCTTTCATGTTCTCCAGAAAGCCAAGTTCCTTCCTGCCTTAGGGCCTTTGCACTTGCTGTGTCTTCTGTCTGTAACTCTCTTCCCTCTGCTCTTGTTGTAACTGCCTCTTTCTCTTCTTTTAAAGCCCTGCTCAACCATCACCTCCCCAGAGATCACTTCCCTGATCATCTCATTAAAGGACCTCACCCTCTACCCAGGTCACTCTCAACCCCATCACCCTGTTTATTCCCTTCATAACTCAGCACTGTCTGAAGTTCACTTACTTATTGACTTGTTTACTGTCTATCCACTCCTCTTCCCCAGAATGTTGGCTTCATGAAGGCAGGGATTTAATATCTTTCTTGTTCAGTGCTTTAGATGGAAACCAGGTACACACAGCACAGTGCTTGGCACATAGCAGATGCTCAATAAATATTGGATGGATGGATGGATGGGATGGATTAATGGATGAATGAGATGGATGGATGAGATGGATGGATGGCTGGATGAATGGAATGGATGAATGGATGGATAAGGATGGATGGATGAGATGGATGAATGAATGGCTGAGATGAATAGGATGGATAGATATAGTGAAACCTCACCATGGGGCCAGGCGCGGTGGCTTACACCTGTAATCCCAGCACTTTGGGAGGCTGAGGTGAGTGGATCACGAGGGCAAGAGATCGAGACCATCCTGGCCAACATGGTGAAACCCCATCTCTATAAAAAAAAAAAAAGAATAAGAGAAACCTCACCATGGATGGATGCAATAAATGGATGGTTGAAATGAATGGATGGATGAGGCGGATGGATGAATGGATGGATGGGTAATAGATAGCTGGGATGGGTGAATGGATGAGTGACGGGATGGATAGATGGATAATGGGTGAGTGGATGGGATGGATGGATAGATGGACAGTTGAGAGATGAATGGATGGAATGGATAGATGGGATAGATGGATGGATGAATAGGATGGATAGGATGAATGAATGGATGGATGAATAGATGGGGATGGATGGATGGGGTGAATGGATGGATGCAATGGATGGATGAGATGGATAAATGAATGGATAGATGGATGGATGGACCAATAGATAGATGGGTGGATGTGGTGGATGGATGGGATGAATGGATGGATGGATGAATGAGTGGGATGAATGAATGGATGGATGGATGGATGAATGGGACAGATGGGATGGATAGTTGGATGGATGAGATGAATGGATGGATGAGTGGATAAATGAGATGGATGAGTGGGTGGGTGGATGGATGAATGGATATGCAACCAGATAAACAAACCTAAAGTACACCTTTAATCAGGCCACTCTCCTATTCAAGAACCTAACTTGGCTGTGCACTGCCTAGGGAATAGCAAACTCTGCTTTGGGACATTCAAAGCATTCTGAACTGGTCCCAAAGAAGATAAGTCATTCATAGTGAAACATTAGGAAGACCATCTGTCTCCCCAAGCTGGGAATGAGCCATTTGAGGACAGGGTCATCTTCATCTCTCTGTCTATACATTAAGCCCCTGGTCAGCAACATCAGAGATGTCTGATGAATAAATAACATGACTGAGTGAGCGAGTGAATGAATGAAAGCAGCCCCACTCTGACCCAAGAAGCCAGCAAGTGAGAAGCAGATAGCTGCAGACCCAGAGGGCTGAATGGTTCAAATTTAGAATAGGAGAACAGTTTCACTGTTTCAGGTCACTGTTCCTGGCCAAGGTTTCACCAGTATGTAAAGCTGGGGCTCTGCAGTGACAGGGAAATTGAGGCTTACCAGAAACTAGACTGGCAGTGTCTCTCGGGAGGGACTGATTTGAATGCCAGTGACCTAATCCTCCAATTATAAGAGCGCACTGTCAAACTAAAAAGCACACTCCCACGCAATTGCAACCAAAGCCACAAAGACTCGCAGCACTAAGAGTGGCAATTTCCTCTCTTAGAAATGTGCCCTGCTGATACATTTCTGGTTTTTGCAGACCTTGGGCCATTCCATTGTGACTCTCTTGGTTTGCAGGTGGAAGAGGAACAGAGCTGTGAAGAGGAGAGCTGGGGTCACCTCAGCTCTGCCAGAGGTTCTATGACCTGCTGAAGGCTCTGGGACCTTCCCTGAATCATCATGATCTGTGGAGCAAGGACTTCCCACTGAGTGGCACGTTCTATTTGTACTACTCTTCTGATCCATCAGTGTCTTTGGTTGGGTTCCCTGGGAAACAGATTCAGAAAGAGAGCTGGGCACCCAGGCGATTTACCAGGGAGCACTCTCCCGCACAGCACCTGTGAAGTGGGTAGGGGAAGGGGGGAGGGGCGCAGGGGATGTTGGGGCTGGAATGCAGGCACACCAGAGGCCTCACCAGAACTCAGACGCTGAGACAGCCCTTCTGAGTTGCCCACATCAGGGCCATGAGATGGGGTCCTTACGATATCAGAGCTAGGCTGCCTCTGTGAAGGAGGCAGTATTAGGCGAGGTGGTTCTCCTTGGCTGAAGGTGAATCCTGTAGCCTCTGTCCTGAAGGGGAATCCAGGTGGTGGACTACAGTCTTCACTGTGGTCCACTACTCTTCACTTCCACCGCCTGGAGCCAACACATCACCTCTCAGCTGGATGCCTCACCAGAGCTCAGCATCCATGCTTGGCCCTTCACCAACACAGAGTCCAATCTCCACCAGGAACCTAAAGCCAGAGGGGCTCTCCCAGCACAGAAATCAGATCACTTCACTCCACTGCTTGAAACCCTTTGAATGCCCTCCCAGATCAAAACACACTCAGAATAAAATAGTGAGTGATCCCTGCCTCTGCCAATGATCTCTCCCTTCACTGTGCTTCAGCTCTCTCTCTCTTTTTTTTTTAGGTCTTGCTCTGTCGCCCAGGACAGAGTGCAGTGGCATGATCTTGGCTCACTGCAACCTTTGCATCCTGGGTTCAAGCGATTCTCCTGCCTCAGCCTCCTGAGTAGCTGGCCTTCATGCCACCATGCCCGGCTAAATGTTTTTGTATTTTTTGAACAGATGGGGTTTCACCATATTGGCCAGGTTGTTCTTGAACTACTGACCTTGTGATCCACCCATCTTGGCCTCCCAAAGTGCTGAGATTACAGATGTGAGTCACTGCACTTGGGCTTTCTTTTTTTTTTTTTTTTTAAGGCAGAGTCTGGTTCTGTCACCCAGGCTGGAGTGCAGTGGCATGATCTCAGCTCACTGCAACCTCAGACTCCCAGGTTCAAGCAATTCTCTGCCTCAGCCTCCTGAGTAGCTGGGATTACCAGCACCCGCCACCATGCCCGGCTGATGTTTGTATTTTTAGTAGAGATGGGGGTTTCACCATCTTGGCCAGGCTGGTCTCGAACTCCTGACCTCATGATCCACCCACCTTGGCCTCCCAAAGAGCTGGGATTACAGGCGTGAGCCACCGTTCTTTCTCTCTCTTGAACAGTCCATCATGATTTTCAGTGTTTTCTCTTTCTTGAGGCAGCTCTGTTCTACCACGGGCCTTTGCTCTTTCTGTTCCTGCTGGCTGACATTCTCTTCCCTCAGATCTTCCCATGGCTGACAACTCTACATCTTTCAAGTCTCATCTGACACGTCACCTCCTCAGAGGGATCCTCCCTCATCACTGATCTAAAAGGTTCCACATTCCTCACATGTTACCTTCCTTTTAAACCACTTCTTGCTGTTTGAAACTATCTTATAACTTTACTGGTTGATTTCCTGTCTCCTCCCATCAGAATAAACTCCATGAAGGATTGGAATCATGTCTGCCTGCTCACCTCTGTTACATGAGGCATCTAAACCAGAAACCAATGCATCGTGGGTGTTATCTATTTGTTGAATAGCTTAATAATGATTTCACGATTCTGTCTCCTTGCTTACTCCTAATCTTGTTCTTTTTGCTCTTTGCCTTAATCAGATTTGGCAGGATCTATCTCCTGATCTTTCTATCTTCTGGTGCTTTCTTTTTAAAAAGCACCTTTTTCATTTTATTTATCACTTCCACTCATTTGTTTTTTCTATTTCATTAGTTGCAGAGTTTACCTTCAATTTCTTATTCCTATTCTTTTGGCTTTAAAATTGTATTTTCTATTTGGTTAAGTTAAATACTTAATCCATTTTGTTTTCAATTTCTTAAAATAATAAATGTCCTTAAGACTATATATTCATACTTAGGTGGCAGGAGGAGATACCACGATCACGAAGGTGGTTTTCCCAGGGCGAGGCTTATCCATTGCACTCCAGATGTGCTGACCCCTGCGATTTCCCCAAATGTGGGAAACTCGACTGCATAATTTGTGGTAGTGGGGGACTGCGATCGTGCTTTCCCCTAAAAAAAAAGACGACTACATTTTCCTCTGTGGGCAGCATTAGCTACCTCTCATGCATTTTGGTGTGAACAGTGTCTGCTTTTTATGACACTAGATAAGTTTCCACTTTGGTTCTGATTTTCCTCTGATTCAGGGGCTGTTTAGAAATAATAGCTATTTTTCAAGAAGTTAAAAATTTGAGGTTTCTTTTGATATTTGATTTTGAATTGTATTTGATTGTGAAATGAGAATGTGGCTTGGAAACAGCTCTACCCTGAAACTTCACTTTGCCGTATACAAATTCTCACTAGACCAGAGTTTCCTTGCTCAGGCTGTTTCCTCATCTGTAAAACAAGCACAATAAATAGTGGCTAAAGATTTATGCCGGGCGTGGTGGCTCATGCCTGTAATTCCAGCACTTTGGGAGGCCAAGGTGGGCGGATCACTTGAGGTCAGGATTTCGAGACCAGCGTGGCCAACATGGTGAAACCCCATCCCTACTAAAAATACAAAAATTAGCCAGGCATGGTGGCACACGCCTATAATCCCAACTACTGGGGAGGCTGAGGCAGGAAAATGGCTTGAACCTGGGAGGCAGATGTTGCAGTGAGCTGATCAAGCCACTGGACTCCAGCCTGGGCAACAGAGTGAGACACCATCTCAAAAAAAAAAAGAAAAAGAAAAGAAAAAAAGAGTTGCTATGGCCTCCTGGGCTAAGAGGCTTGTCTTGAAGCCACCTTATCCTAATAAACCCATTGTCTTTACTTATGTTGTATTTATATCTGAGTGGCCTTGATGCTGTCACAAACCACTAGAACGGCCCAGGCCTAACATGCAGCTCCTGACGCCAACTCAAATGCTAGTTCCGTGGTGGCTCATGCCTGTAATCCCAGCACTTTTGGAGGCCGAGGCAGGCAGATCACGAGGTCAGGAGTTCTAGACCAGCCTGGCCAACATGGTGAAACCTCGTCTCTACTAAAAGCACAAAAATCAGCTGGGTGTGGTGGCGTGCACCTATAATCCCAGCTATTTGGGAGGCTGAGGCAGGAAAATGGCTTGAACCTGGGAGGCAGAGGTTGCAGTGAACTGAGATCACGCCACTGCACTCTAGCCTGGGTGACAGAGTGAGACTCTGTCTCAAAAAAAAAGAAAAAAGAAATAAGGCTTTAAAGTTGGATGTGGTGACTCATGCCTGTAATCCCAGAACTTCAGGAGACCAAGGAAGGTGGATGCTTATGGCCAGGAGTTCAAGACCAGCCTGGGCAACATAGGGAGACCTCATCTCTACAAATAACTTAAAAATCAGCCTGGTGTGGTGGCACGTGCCTGTAGTCCCAGCTACTCAGGAGACTGAAGTAGGAGGATCACTTGAGACCAGGAGGTCGAGCCTGCAGTGAGCTGAGCTCATGACACTGCACTTCCAGCCTGGTTGACAAAGAGAGACCTTGTCTCATTAAAAAAAAAGAACAAAACAGAAAACAAGGCTTTAATAGCAAGAGTACCTTATATTTATATACAGTGCTTTGTAGTGAAGCTGCCGTGATGCACGGTTCCGCTGACTGACCACCTATTGTGTGTGAAGCACTGCGCTCCTAACTCACGTTTGTTGGGGCATTTCCTCTTCACGATAACCTTGTGCGGAAGGTCTTATCGTCGCCCTTCTCCAAATGAGAAAACAGGATCAGAGAAATGTGACATTGCCAAAAGCACCCAGCTCCTGAGTGTGTTCAGCCTGAGGGTGTCTGGCTCTTCCTACATCTGGAATCTCATCTCATTTGGTTCTTTACCTATCAAATCGAGAAGGTTCATTGTCATTCACTCAGCAAATATTTGAGCACCTGCCCCATGCCTTCTGTCCCACAGTATGCCAAAGTCTGGACTAGGTGCTGGAGATAGAACAGGGAGCAAAACAGCGTCCTTTGTCCCCTGTCCCAGTTGGGAAGAAAGACCAAAGAAAAGACAAAGCAGGCTGGGTGCAGTGGCTCACGCCTATAATCCCAGCACTTTGGGAGGCTGAGGCGGGTGGATCACAAGGTCAAGAGATCGAGACCATCCTGGTCAACATGGTGAAACCCCGTCTCTACTAAAAATACAAAAATTAGCTGGGCATGGTGGTGCGTGCCTGTAATCCCAGCTACTCGGGAGGCTGAGGCAGGAGAATTGCCTGAACCCAGGAGGCGGAGGTTGCGGTGAGCCAAGATTGCACCATTGCACTCCATTCTGGGTAACAACAGCGAAACTCTGTCTCAAAAAAAAAGAAAAGACAAAGCAAAGCAAGGCAAAAACAGCACTTCAGAGCATATGTGACGCCAGGGAGTTACAGAGGCAGCTAAGACTCTCAACAGTTCCTTTCAGTACTAAACTGTTTTGCTTCTATTATGTTCCTTGTCTTTTTTTTCTTCTTCTTCTTTTTTTTGAGATGGAGTCTTGTGCTGTCACCCAGACTGGAGTGCAGTGGTACGATCTTGACTCACTGTAACCTCTGGCTCCCGGGTTCAAGTGATTCTCCTGCCTCAGCCTCCTGAGTAGCTGGGATTACAGGCATCCACCACCACGCCTGGCTAATTTTTGTATTTTTAGTAGAGACGGGTTTCACCATGTTGGCCATGCAGATCTCAAACTCTCGACCTCAGGTGACCCACCTGCCTCAGCCTCCCAAAGTGCTGGGACTACAGGCATACGCCTCTGCACCTGGCCTCTATTTCCTTTCTGATCATCTGTTCAGGTGGATTGACAGACACAAACATGTAGTGTCTCTATTGCCCTAAGGCTCCAGTGACTACTTTAGCCATGTCCCAGGATTGAGGAATGTACAATTTTGTTTTTGTTTTTTGACACAGGGGCTCGCTCTGTTGCCTAGGCTAGAGTACAGTGGTACAATCATAGCTCACTGCAGCCTCATCCTCCCAGGCTCAAAGGATCCTCCCATCTCAGCCTCCTGAGTAGTTGGAAATACAAACACACAGCTAATTTTTATACATTTTTTTGTAGAGACGGGGCCTCGCCATGTTGCCCAGGTTGGTCTTGAACTCCTGGTTTCAAGTGATCCTCCCACCTCAGCCTCCCAAAATGCCAGGATTACAGGCATGAGCCACAGTACCTGGCCCAGGGTTCTGTTCTAAGAAGCACATCCTTCTTGTGGTGTGTCCTTTCTTCACTTGCAGGCCTGCTGTTTCTTGTTCCTGTGTAATCTGTCACTTTGCGGCACTTCCTTTTCCTCTGTGCGGACAGAGCCTGGCTTGTTCAGCCACTTTTTGTCCTCTGGGGGTTTGATTTCCTTCCATGTTATTGCTATTGTGTGTTACATAGTGATGAACTAGCCAGGACACATTGTTACTTAGTCCCCTGGGTCACTTCCTGCTTCTGTAATCCTCCTTCACTGTTGACATTTCTATTGATTTTTAGCCAAACTCTGAGGTTCACAAACTATGGCTACCCACCTGTTTTTCTAAATAAAGTTTTATTGGAATACCTGTTTGTTTACATGTTATCTGGGGCTGCTTCAGCTATGGGGGCAGAACTGAGAAGCTGAATAGCCGAGTGACAGAGACTACAGATGGCCCCTGTGAGAGCAGAAAAAGCAACTGTTTTTCCTCTGTTCTCACACTACAACAATCAACACAGAAGACTTTTTTTTTTTTTTTTTTTGAGACAGAGTCTCACTCTGTCACCTGGGTTAGAGTGCTGTGGTGCAATGTCAGCTCACTGCAACCTCCGCCTCCCAGGTTCAAGAGATTCTCCCTCTTCAGCTGCCAGAGTAGTTGGAATTATAGGCAGCTGCCATCACGCCCAGCTAATTTTTGTATTTTCAGTCAAGACAGAGTTTCACCATGTTGGCCAGGCTGATCTCGAACTTCTGATCTCAGGTAATCTGCCCACCTCAGTCTCCCAAAGTGCTGAGATTATAAGGGTGAGCCAACTCAGCTGGCCACAGAAGACTTCTATGGCCAAATATGTGTGTTTTTCCCAAGCACCAAGCAGTGGACACCAGCAGGGCATCCCCCAATTCCACTGTGATGCCATCTACCTGAAGATAGCTTCAGGTCACATGAATTGAGGGCTCAGTCCCCAGGACTGTCCCTTCCTTCTCACCAGTCCCAAGTCCAGGTCTCCAGAACTTCTGATAGACCAGCTTCAAACTGGGGTCCCCACGACCTGCTCTTTGGGTTTAATTAATTTGCTAGAGCGGTTCACAGAACTCAGGGAAACTTCCTGACGTCTACCAGTTTAAGACAAAGGCTCCTTTAAAGGATACAGGTAAACGGCCAGATGAGATGCACGTGGTGAGGTCTGGAAGGGTCCTGAGCCTGTCCCCATAGGGTTGGGGCACGCCACACTCCCAGAATGTGGATCAGTTCTTGTTCACCTTCCTATAAACCTCCATGTGTTCAGCTATCTGGAAGCTCTCTGAGCCTTTTTTTCCGTTTTTTTTTTGAGACAGGATCTCACTCTGTCACCAAGGCTGTAGTACATTATACTTGGCTCACTGCAACCTCTGCCTCAAGCATTCAGGCAGTTCCTGCCTCAGCCTCCTAAGTGAGCTGAGATTACTGGCCTGTGCCACCACATGCAGCTAATTTTTTATTTTAGTCGAGAAAGGGTTTCCCTATATTGGTCAGGCTGGTCTCGAACTCCTGACCTTAAGTGATCCACCCACCTTAGCCTCCCAAAATGTTGGGATTAGGGGCATGAACCACCGGGCCTGGCCCTCTTGAGCCTTTGATGGGGACTTCGTTGGGTAGGCATGACTGAGTGTAGAAATGTGATTGAATGAAAAGGGGATGGTCTGACACTAATAGGCTGAGTGGAGAACCCCAGTGAGGCTGTCTGTTCAGTCTTCTCCACCTCTCTGTGCTGCATTCCTTCCTTCAGGGTATTGGGCGGGACCTTTCTGAAATGAGAATTCTCAAGACCCACAATCAGAAAAGCAGGGGTGCTCATCAAAGCTTCTCCAAAAACGTAACATCTGAGCTTTATTTGAAAAAAATTATTCAATCACGGAAAAGAGGTCTCCAGAAACATTAAGAAAAAAACAAAAGTAATTGTACGACAACTCACGGTTTTTAAACTATGCCTTTGTTTTCCTAAGCATGCATGTAGGTATACAGGTATAGATCTGGACATCAGCCAATGGCTGGACATGGTGGCTAACACCTGGAATACCAGCACTTTGGGAAGCCAAGGCAAGAAGACAGCTGGAGCCCAGGAGTTTAAGACCAGTCTAGGCAACATGGCAAGACCCCATCTCTACAAAAATTATAAAAATTACCTGAGCATGGTGGCGTGGGCTTGTAGTCCCAGCTACTTAGGAGGCTGAGGCGGGAGGATCGCATGAGCCCAGGAGGTTGAGGCTGAGGTGAGCTACAATTGCACCACTGCACTCCAGCCTTGGAAATAGAGTGAGACTCCATCTCAAAAGAAAAAAAAAAAATTTAGACATCAGCCAAACTGCTGACATGAAAGGAGAGGTTTACACTTATTTTCCAGCAAGCACATATTCACACTACTTTTATAAGACTTTTCAGGTGTGTCTGTGAACAAAAGCTATTTAGAGCATATATGCAAAAAAGTTGGGTCAGCAGAAGCAGCTTAAGGGGTTAAGAGCATCTTCCCTGGGGTAAAAATGCCCCCAGCTGGCTCAGTTGCTGGCTTTGTGACCTCAGGCAAGCTGTGGCTTGTTTGTCTAGAGTAGCTGTTCCATTTCGATTTGTACCTAGAGGGAGGAGGCCAGGGGTGTTGCTGAACCCCCTGCAATGAGCAGGACGGCTCCCCCACTTGTCAAGGGCAACGTGGAGAAGCCCTGTTCTAGAACAAGGGGCAGTGTCTGCCTCGAAGAGCTGAGAACTCACATTGTGTAATGCACTTAGCACGGGCCCTGGCACATAGCAAGTGCTTAATAAATAGAAACTATGTTTATTACTGGACCTCCTCAAAATTAAAAAAAGATGTTGAGTGTGGAGGAAGTGGTGATGCCAGGAAGCAATTCTGCTGAATCCCAATTCCAGCAGCTGGCTGGAAGGATCTCTGACCTTCTCCATAGCAACAATGGACTTCACCGGATGTGTGTCTGCCAAAGGGATGGCCTATACCGAGCTCCCAATTCCTCCTGTTGAGTTTTTCTGGTTTGAATCTCATCTCCTGCCAGTAGTTCAGGAACATTCCCACCCGATCACCTGGTCTCTTATACATATTCAGCTGTCTTCCTCTCTCAGACATTCCCTGTGTTCAGAAAAAACACACTCAAACTTCTCTGGTGGGAAAACCAAAACCTGGACCCCATCTCAGCCCCCAAGCCCCCAGCCTCGAATGCTTCCTGCAGCCCTGACCTTCTCTTTCTACCCCTTTCCAGGAAATCCAAGAGATGTCCACACTCTGCTGCTATCTCCTCCTTCCACATCGGGTCAGCAAAACGGGTCCTGCCACATTTCCAACACCTGCCCATTGCCAAGTCACTGTTTCTCTCTCCCTCTTCCTCTTATGTTGCTTTGTCTGCTGCCTTCAGTGCTGCTGACCACTCTCCCTCCTGCCTCCTCACTCTTCCTCCTTTTCTCAACCTGCAGAAGCTGGGCCAAGGTCGCCGCCTTCTCTCACTCTGTGCTTTTTGTTCTCAATCCCCCATCAGTCTCATCCACTGCTGGGTCCTCACTAACCTCCTCCACCCAGAGACTCCCCAGTCCACCCATGTCCCCCATCCTGCCATCTCTGCCAAGTTGTCTCAAAACTCCCTGAACTCAGCAGTCACAACTGATCTCATATCTGCCCCACCAATCTGGTCTGACTCCAGTGCCCCCATCTCAGGGAATGGCCCTGTCATCAGTGCAAGTGGGAAGCCAGCAGCTTAGGTGGAGTCCTCCATGCCAATCACTGCTGGCAGGTCCTAGGGGCATGACCTCAGCATCTCCCAGTCTCCCCTCATCCATCGTCCCTGCACCCACTGCTGCCTCGCCCCTGCTTCTGTATCACCGCCCATTTTCCCAGCAGTCAGAGATGTCTCTTACAGTTGCTATGGAATCTGAATTGCATCACACAGCCCTACCTGCTGAAAACTCTCCAATCCATTGCTCTAAGGATGAAATGCAAACTCCTCACCCTGGCCTGCAAAGCCCTGCACTGCAAGGCCCAGGCCCATCTCCCAGGCTGGCCATCCCTATTCACCCCCTGCTCTCCACTCCAGCCACACTGGCTTCCTCCCTGTCCTGCAGCTGTGCACCCATGTTCCTTGTCTCCCCTAGCTCACCCGCTCCCACCTTCCCTACATTCCCACCGGATGCCTGCCCTTCCATGTACTCATTACCCACAGCTTCCTCTTCTGGAGCATGTATTGAGGATACAATTTTAGTCATAACTGCCAGTGAACTGTGAGCTTAACGAGGCCACCCATCCTTATTTTCTCTATTATTGTGTCCACAGCATCTGACACTATTAATACTGTGAGTGGCAAACATTCAACACAGAAGTCATAACAATCTCTGAGCAGAATCAGGCGGATAAACCCTAGACTGATCCCAGAGAACCTTTTGGAATCAAACTCCATCAACCCTCACCATCCCCTTCACCCCCAAGTCCCCTTCCCCAACTGTCTTATTGGTACCACCTGGGTGATTCCTGAAAGAAAACCTGTGTGGGCGTTCCCTGGCAGCACCCTGGGAGCAGTGCTTCTGTCACACCACGCAGTTGTTCACTCAGCCCACCCACCTGCAAAATGGGTCAGGCAGTATTTACCCCAGCAAGACCCAGAGCTCAGCTGAACTGCCTGAAGTTGAACTCCTGTAGGAAAGGAAAGAAAAAAGGAAAAGACCCCACCCAAGGAGCCCACCTGTCCTAGACAAAAAGAAACCACCACCAAGGTTTGGTTCTTGAATATGTATTTTTTACTGAAAAAATCAGTCATAAATTAACATACAAAAATGTACAAACACATGAGTAAATAATGTAATGACAAAGGACTATTTTTTGTGAAAAGTGTTTTTTAAAACATCTTTAGATTTCAGTGCAAAAATGTACCCCTGGCACCTCTTAAAACATAAGAGCGAGCTCAAAAACACATAGGATGGAAATAAGCTAGCTATGCTCAATGCTATTGTCAATGGTGGTGGATACAATCAATCCATGTGGCTGCTGATCAGCTATTCATGTCTGTGGTAGAGGATCTCTGACAAGAGGACCTATTATGTCAAAATGAGTATTCTTGCAAGTACCCCCTTTCCCCCAAAAACAGCATCAACAGGGACACCTTTCCCGGCACACAGCAATCAAAGACAAGATTAATTTAAGGGGCCACCCATCAGTAGCCATAAAGATTTTCAGCTGTCAACATATGCACAAGGTCACATTTGGTTCCTGTTTTTTTTAAACATGACAGTTCCACGTTTATTAACAGCACACGGGCCTCGCTGTACGTTTTTAACTATGACATTTCCCACATAATATTCAAGGCCCGGTGGATGCATGACAGTTACATTCAGAGATTCCACACTCATCAGATAGACTTGCGACCGCAAGGGTATCGATGGACCCCACTTTAAGCAGTGAAAAGAGACCTTTCCTTTTGTTCTCAAATCAGCATTTTAAAAGTCAGGTGTTAGTCTTTTGCCAACAGTGTGTACTTGATAGTAATTACGGTAACGTAGAGCTTCAAACAACACTGCTGCCTGTAACTCAGAATCAGTCTGTACTGGCAAATCCTTCCAAATGACATCACAGTGTTGTCACAATGAAAGCAACTCACAGCCTTCAGTGAGGAAAAGGGAGAGGAGAATGAGAAGGGGAGAAAAGCTGAGGCAGGGACAAAGGTCCGGTGGGGGTGGGGTTGCACAGTGGAGGGCGAAATGGGGTCGGGGGTCCTTTATTGCTAGATGCACCCTAAAACAAAGGAAAACCAAATGAACCTCTGGGTGTAATGTTCCCTTGTGAAGGTATTTTAAAGCATGAAATGCTTAAAAGTTTTAAAAAACATCTGCTATAGCTTACCAGCATTTTCAAGGGCAGGAGCCTGCTCTCTCATACCAGCCGATAAGAGCTTTGCAATGCAATTTATTTTCTAAATACCACTGTATTCTTCAAAAGAAAACACAAACATGAAAACAAGTCCTGGCCAATCACTCCCACAGTTTGCGGGGATCATATGTCCACAGAACCACCACGTGCAGCACAAAAGCCCTAACCCACACGTATATACACACACACTCCCCCCTACACACACCCATGTAAACCATGAAAATCAAGGAAGTTGAAGGCAAACAAGGCAATTAAAAAAAAAAAATATGAAGTACTCTTCAGAAAGTACTCCTCACCACAATATATAAATATGTTGTATGGAAAAGAAGGGCAAGAGGAAAACTGGCATTTTCCAGATTTCTGCAGAAGCGGACAGGGACTACAAATTGAGGGGTTTGGTTCGGGAGAAAAACAAAGAGGTACAATTTCAAATCCAATTTAGAATATGACTTCAAGGCTGGGCATGATGGCTCACACCTGCCCGTAATCCCAATACTTTGGAGGTCAAGTTGGGTGGATTGCTTGAGTCTAGGAGTTTGAGAGGAGTCGGGGCAACACAGCGAAACCCCAGCTCTACTAAAAATACAAAACATTAGCCAGGAATGGGGGTGTGCACCTGTAGTCCCAGCTACATGAAAGGCTGAGGTGGGAAAATGGCTTGAGCCTGGGAGATGGAGGCTGCAGTCAGCTGTGATGGTGCCGATGTACTCCAGCCCAGGTGACAGAGCCAGACGCTGTCTTTAAAAAAAAAAAAAAAAGAATATGACTTGAAAATGCAGGTGGGGGTGTAAGCAGTGCACTTGGGCTCTTGCCATCTGGAGCTTTGTTGGTCTAATTTCAGAGCTTCCATCCAGTCTTTCCTGGATCCCAGCTGCCCCACAGCACACAAGTGTCACCGGCTCCCTGGCTGAATTCTTTCCTACTCCAGTGCTCCTTGGTTCTCTGTATCAGTTACTAATGTTGACAAAGAATCTTTCCAGAAACCAAAAGGGAAACAGAGGAATCACTGAAGCCAGCTGGTAATGTAGGCACATTGTTCAGAAACTGTGGCCAAGTTTCCACAGAGAAAAAAGGGGGGGAGGGGTTCCCATACAACCCCCCTCCCAAACCACATGCTGATTAAAGGACTAAACATGAAGCCTGGAGAGCCAGGCATGTGTGTGCAGCGAGCCCCGGAGGGCCTGCTTCGGGCAGGAAGCAGCCTGCTCTAATAGCAGCCTCCCGCTTAGCCGAGAATGGGATGACCTCGAACGTGGCCAACTGGGAAGAGTGAATCCAGAGCAGAAGTCAAGGACAAGACTCGTGGGGAGAAAGAAAGGGGCAGAAGCCAGCTCCCGGCAATAAAGGTCGAGTTATTTTGTTCTTTTGTGACGTGCCCTATATCCACTCCCTTCCCAAGGTGACAGCCATTCGGGAGATGACATCCTCCAACTGCATTTTAACTGAGTTCCTGCACTTGCCAACCAAATAAATGGTCTAATATATAAACCCTAGGTTTGAACTGGAGCCACCTAGAAATTAAATTTTAAAAAGGCATTTTACATGGCTTATTTACAATTATACTTCTTCAAGAAGTGACTGTTATATATTTATGTCTATTTATCTTTCCCAAACACCCTCCCCTCCACCCTCAATCCCCACCCAAAGGTAATTTTTTAAAAAAAATGAAACCAAAGAGAACACCAGAGATATAGAAGAATGGTGTGGAGTTTCATTTGCTCTTCCTAAAACACAGCTGCCCTGTGCTGGGTTTGCCTCTGCTCTGAAGGCCAAGAGGCTGCAAGGTCACACGTAGGGACAGGCTGCACGGCAGGACCACGGCAGATCACAGTTCATCACGGGTTCTGGAGCCTGTGGCTAAGACAGGATGTGGGGTAGGAGACGGGGAGAGAGCAGCGGGACAGACGTCTGTCTTGTGAAAATAGAAAGCCAGTGCTGACGAAGGAAGTCCCCAAGCTCACTCCCTCGGTCCCAGCAGCCGATCCAGTGAAGGCGTTTGTGCGTGTGCGGTCACATTTTCCCCCAAACCCTGTGATCCTTCATGAGACACTGTATTTCTGTTCTCTTGCTGTGTAGACCCCCCAAAAAAAATCTCATCAGACTGCTTTCTTGGTGGTGGTGGGTAAAGCAAACGTACATTCTCTCCTCTCAGTACTCGTTCACCTGAGCCAGCTCGGGTGTCAGGTTGACAGTTATGTTTTTATACAAGGCGTCGTATGTGATGTTTGCAAAGTAGTTCAGGTTGTTGAGGCCATCCAGCCCTTGCCGTTCTTTTGACTTCCTTAGCAGAGCGTACCTGTTAGGGCCGGAAGAGAGAAGAGATGGCTCTGAGTGAGGATCCACACCTCTGCAGTCAGACGATGCAACCAACTGCAGCCCTTCTGTAGCATGAGGCGGGGGCATGGCCACTCTGCTATGCCAGGCTGAGTGCAGTTATTAGAATCACCTCCTGTGTTTCATGCCAGGTGCTTTACTTATTTCATTTAATGCCCACCCAGCCCCTGCTAGCAAATGAGAATGTTAGGTAACTTGGCCAAGGTCAGAGAGTGGGGAAGTGGAAGGGAAAACATTAAAAATACAACAGATGAGAAAGTTCATACTCTGTATTCAGTGCCATTTTACTCCCACGAAAACAGAATTTCAGCAATTAGAATTGGCTGTCTGGAGTGCAGTCTTTCCCACAATTGAGAAAAGACCAAAAAAAAAAAAAAAAAGGGTAACAGAGCAACTGCAAGCAACTGCAACCACACAGACAGAAGCTCAGAACACCCGTTCAGAATGGGAGCCTGCAGAAAGGGGCCAGCTGCTCTGTCACCTCAGGGACTTTCATCCTAGCTGTTTCTTCTCAAACTCTTCAAAGGCTACTGAGGAGACCACAATGCTGAAGACATAGAATGAGTGATTTCCTTAAAATAATCTTACTGTTGACATTTTCACCAACGGTCTGATCCCCCTACTAGTCTGACTCAGAGTTAAAATACATGCAAGCACTGTCAAACAGCTGTCAGAACAGGGCCCTGGAGAGGGGAAGAGGAGGAGGGGTTGTAATATGCTCTAAGACATCTGGACATGAAAGTATAGGGGCTATTTTCAAGAGACATAAATAAATTGCACCGACCTTCCAAGAAACTGGACTTCTCCTCGATGGTGATGAGGAATGGACTTGTACTTTCCTGTGTCACCCTCTGGCCGGCTCACAGAATAGCCTGCATTCTGGACTCTGTCCAAGACCAAGACAACGGGCTTTTAGATACAATGGTAATAGTCCAGGAGTGACCAAAGCCTACAAGCCACGTTACAAGCTTACCCTGGAAATCACACACAGCAAAAGCTTTCTCACTCAAATGACTCACTGTGTCACTTGAAGTTAAGGGGAGGGGGAGAAAAAAAAAAGAAAACAAACTGAGTTAAAACTCAATTTTAACTGAATTAAAGTTTTCATGTGAACAGAAAAAACCAGCTGGGCTTGGTGGCTCATGCATGTAATCCCAGCACTTTGCGAGGCTGAGGCGAGTGGATCACTTGAGGTCAGAAGTTCGAGATCAGCGAGGCCAACATGGTGAAACCCCATCTCTACTAAAAATACAATTAGCAGGGCATGGTGGGACAGGCCTGTAATCCCAGCTATTCAGGAGGCTGAGATAGGAAAATAACTGGAACCCGGGAGGTGAAGGTTGCAGTGAGTCAAGATTTCGCCACCACAAGATTGAGCCTGGGAGACAAAAAGAAAACCCATCTGGAAAAAAAAAAAAAAAGGGAAAAAAGTACAGAAAGAAATGGCTTCTTCTTAGAAATAAAATAGAATCAAACTGGGGATTAACACTTATACACTTGTATCATCTGAACTTTTCTTTTCTGAGACAGAGTTTCACTCTTTACCCAGGCTGGAGTGCAATGGCGCGACCTTGTCTCACCACAACTTCTGCCTCCTGGGTTCAGGCAATTCTCCTGCCTTAGCCTCCTGAGTAGCTGCGATTACAGGCAGATGCCACCATGCCCAGCTAATATTTTGTATTTTTAGTAGAGACGGGGGGTTTCACCATGTTGACCAGGATGGTCTCGATCTCTTGACCTCGTGATCCACCCGCCTTGGCCTCCCAAAGTAGTGGGATTACAGGTGTGAGCCATTGCGCCCGGCCTCTGAATTTTTTTTTTTAAGAGACAGGGTCCATTGCATGTTGCCCAGGCGGGAGTGCAGTAGGGCCATCATGGTGCAGTGTAGCCTCAACCTCCCAGGCTCAAGTAATCCTCGCATCCCAACTGGGCCTCCTGAGTAGCTGGGACTACATCCATGTGCCACCACAACTGGCTAATTTATTTTAGTTTTTGGAGAGACAAGGTCTCACTGTTGCCCAGGCTGGTTTTGAATTCCTGGGCTCAAGTGATCCTCAAGCCTCGGCCTTGCAAAGAGCTGGGATTACAGGTGTGAGCCACGGTACCCAGTCTATCATTTGACTTTTTATCAGCAAAGTATTACTTGTAATTAACAACAAACACATACTTTTCAAAACCAAGCTACAAAGTAAACAGATACCAGGTGGAAGTTCTTTTGCCTTTGTTCCTTATTAGGTTATTATTTACTTATTCCATAAAAATATTATTTTATTCCACTCGCACACAGGATTGTTCACACAAATTTATATAATACAAGCCTCATGTGATGGCACAGCTAAATCTATGTAGACATATCACTCATATTCTACTCTTCAGTTTGGAGTGGTTCCAATGAAGTGGGCATTTAGTACACAGAATGTTTGTAAAGTGGAAAGTTTTGTTAGAACCTTATGGCAGGAGGGCCGCTTAGTTATAATATTCTTTAATAACCTTATTTACATTAATTAAAGAACAGAACTTTAAAAAAAGAGCCTTAATGACTACATTTGCTTACAGGAATTTAGCAAAAGAATACTATATTACAGTCTAACTAGTGAGAAATGGAAAAGCCCGGCCCCAATTCTAAATATACAACAGGAAATAGTTACATCAATTACAGTGCATCTATATAATGGAATTAAATGGAGCCATTTCAGATCCTGTTTACAGAGTATTTAATACTGATGTAATTAAAGCATCTATTGAGAGCTTATCACATGTCAGATCCGCCAGCGCTCCATACACATTACATCATTTGATCCTCACAATCCTGAGATTTGGGATTTTAAAAACTGATGCACAGAGATTTTAAATTACTGTTCACCTGCCACTTTTTAAACACAAAATAAACTCAATGAAATGGTAACATTTGCTTCTTGTTGAGGGTAATTTATTTTATTTCTATACTGATCTGTATTTTACAATGAGGATATTCTTTATTAGAAGAAAAAACTGCTGAATTATATTTTAAGTTTATTTTTCCATGTCAAGGGAGAAAAAAGAAAATAGCTGCTTTGGTGGTATATACAGCTTGTTTTAAGATATTAAGATATTTTTAAATTAAGATTTTTTTAACAAAACTTGTAATTTGTGTGTGTGTGTGTGTGTGTGTGTGTGTATTTTTTAAGACCGGTCTCAATCTGTCACCCAAGCTAGAGTGTAGTGGCATATTCATAGCTCACTGTGGCCTCAATCTCCTAGGCCCTCCTCCCACCTCGGCCTCCCAAAGTGTTGGGATTATAAGTGTGAGCCACTACATCTGGTCAATTTGTTTTTTTTTTCTTAACTTTTTAAACTATAGCTACTAGAACATTTTAAATCACACACATGGTTTGCATCATATTTCTATCTGATAGCATCGGTCTGCAGTCTAAGGTAGCATTTCTAGAAGACCCCAAAAACAGCACAGAGGTACCTGTTCCAGAGGTCGTCATCTTCTCCACCCCAACCCCAGAAAGCATTAGGAAAGCCGTTGATTTTCCGAAACTGTTCCACTGTTAAGCCACTCACTCCACCAAAGAACTCAGTATAAGGAAGCCTAGGAGGAGATGTGGGAAATCAACTGTCTGTGTGTTACAGGGTAATTGTTTTCCCTAGAACGTTATTCATTTGAGGACTAAAAACAGTGCTCTCCGTGCTCCTGACCTGAACTATATGAACTTGCTTCCTCATGCTGACATGTATCAATCAAAGTAGCAAAATGAATTTTTGCTGATTTTTAATAGCTTGAGTGAGATAGTGTTGACACATCCATACACAATTCACCCATTTAGAGTGTATCATTCAATGGTTTTAGATAATTCACTGAATTGTGCAACCAGGACCACAATCTATTTTAACATGTTTTATCACTGCCCCCTGCAAAGCCTTGCACCCATTAGCAATCACTCCCTAATCCCCCTATGCTCTTTAGCCCCTTATAACCATTCAGTGATTTTCTGTCTCTATAGATTTGCTTATTCTGGACATTTCAGGTAATTAGAATCATGTGATACATGACCCTTTGTGTCTAGCTTCTTAATGTTTTCCAAGTTCATCCATGTTTTGGCACATATCAGTACTTCGTTCCTTTCTATTGCCAAATAGTGTTCCAATTATATGGATATACACACTTTGCTTATCCAACAATCAGTTAATGGACATCTAGGCCGTAGCTAATTAGATTCCCTTTTCTTCACATCGCTCATCATCCTTTCAGATTTAACCTCTTTAATTAAGAGGAAAAAATACTTACAGATACATATACTTATCCAATTTGGTTGCAAAATGCCTTGGCATCTGTCCACATCCATAATAGTTGCGATCACTTTCTGGTATGTGATCTACATCATGAAAAATCAAACAGTCCCAATCCAGGTCCTTCATCGCTTCTCGAAAGCCAACGTTGAAAAGCATGGCTCGATTAAAGGGCTGGGTACCAACCTAAAAGAAACAGAATTTTATTTTAAAAATAATCTTGAAGCAAAATCTTTACTGCCTTTGCTGTGCCTAAAGAAGAGTTGATTAGAACCAACTGGAAAAGATCACTGGGCTAGTATAACCAGGTCCAGCACCACACCTCAACTCACTCACAGTATGGCCCAGAAGTCACTGGACCTCTGGTGGTGCAGTGGCTCACACCTATAATCCCAGCATTTTGGGAGGCTGAGGCAGGTGGATTAGGAGATTGAGACTAGTCTGGCTAACATGGTGAAACCCCATCTCTACTGAAAACACAAAACCATTACCTGGGCGTGGTGGCAGATGCCTGTAATCCCAGGTACTGGCGAGGCTGAGGCAGGAGAACTGCTTGAACCCAGGAGGCCGAGACTGCAGTGAGCCAAGATCACGCCACTGCACTCCAGCCTGGGCAACGGGGGGGGGGGGGGGGGGGAGTCACTGGACCTCTGGGCCCCATTTTCTTTAAAAATATAAATGGTAGCAAACCCAAGCTTCTCTCTCTCAAGGCTACTGAAGATAGAAATTCAATCTTATAATAGCCTTTAGAAGAGTACCCCACTCCACAAAGGTAAGGGAGCATATTACCATTTCTACTTTTTACTGCTTGCCAATCACTCTCTTCAGCATATCAACCAATCTGTAGCTGTTCATAAACCAAATCTACTACAAAGAGTGGTTTTTGGTTTTGTCCTGTTTTATTTTTAAAATCTAAGACAACAGTCACTGAGCATGCCAGGGACTCAAGCCTATAGAGACAAAGAATTCAGGCTCATGAAGAGACCAGTTCGAATGCTACACTGACTCACGCTTGCCAGTATCAAAATACCCAACTTAGGACAGGCAGATAGACTGTTAACATTTCCCAGATGCCCGGCCTTGCTGAGCAGTGGTGCTTAGCCCTTAATCCTCACTCCAGTATAAGGCAAACTCTAGGCTGACCACTTAGAGCAAAAGACTCAAAAGTGTGCCCACAGGGAGAGAGGTGAGCGTTCAACAGGCCCTCAGGTTGACAATCAGTGTATTCAGGAAAATCTGTCAACCTTCCGTTTATCTATGGATACAGCACCGCTAGTTCAAGGATCACATACTTCACAAGGCCTACAGAAGCCACGTCAGTAACGTAAGCATGTAAACTAGGCCGCGCAGAGAAAACCACAGTAGGACAGCTATGTTCCATCTAAAGCCAAATAAAAAATATGCAGGACCAGGTAAAAAAAGATTTACAGACTGAATTTTCCACCTGCATCTTCTTCAGTTTATGACCTCTATATCTGCTTCGATACATATATTTTTTCTTTCTTTTTTCTTTGGAGACAGAGTCTCAGTTTATGACCTCTATATCTGCTTCGGTACATATACTTTTTCTTTTTTTTTTTTTTTTGAGACAGAGTCTCACTCTGTCGCCAGGCTGGAGTGCAAAGGTGCAATCTTGGCTCACTGCAACCTCCGCCTCCCAGGTTCAAGCGATTCTCCTGCCTCAGCCTCCTGAGAAGCTGGGAGTACAGGTGTGCACCACCATACCCAGCTAATCTTTGCATTTTTAGTAGAAACAGGGTTACACCTTGTCGGCCAGGATGGTCTTGATCTCTTGACCTTGTGATTAGCCTGCTGTGGCCTCCGAAAGTGCTGGGATTATAGGCGTGAGCCACTGCACTCAGCCCACTACCAATATTTTTAAGATGAAAACAAAACCAAACCCTGAGGTTCAGAGAAGTCTGCAAATGTCCCTGGCCACTTGGTTAATTAACAGCAGACAGAGGACAAGCACTACAGTCTCTTGTCTCCAAGGCCACATCCTCTGCACTGGATCTTGCTGCAGCTCTTCATCTTAAGGGGAAGTTTGCTGAGGCCTGCAGACACCAGCAAAACCACCATACAAGAGGCCTTTGTTCATGTGCAAACAAAATTCTCTCCTGGATTCAAGTGTGCCCAGTACTGGGCAATAAACATCTCAAACCAGGAGTACAAAATTGTTCTCTGCTCCCCTTCCCACCTCAGGCAACTTAATCCTAAGATTTCAGTTTTGCTGGCTCTTCACACCAACAGTAGATAACCTGCAGCATCCTAAACTGCTGTCTAAGAGAAAGAAGAAAGGACCACTCACTTGTTCAACCACATAAAATGCGAACTGCAGGCGCTGGCGCTGAAGCATGGGAATCAGGTGTCTGAACAGGACTGGGAGGTGCTCGTGGCGGTTCCGAAAGGGGATGAGGATCGCCACCTGAAGCACATCATGGCAAAAGCAGCACAGTTAGGACTCTCCATTTTCACTCCTTAACAGGACCACCCTGCAGAATTGGTGACCAACCCACAGGAGTTCTTGGAGGCTGGCTATCTTGTGCTCAGCTTCCTCTAAACAAAGACCCATGTTGGCAAGTCAGCCCTTGGACCTAGATGAATGTTATTCTTATATATACCACATCTTATAGTACATGGTGGGCCTGCAATTCATTCTAGGCCGTAACTCATAGGAAAAAACACATTCTACACTGTGACAAAAATACATCTATAAACTTACAATTAAAACAAGCTTCACAAAACAGTATTTTCCCTTACAATGTGCAATGTACAAATGCTGGTTATTAAGTTGTTTTTATATCCCCACGATGGGTTGGATACTGATCTGCTCCAGATACACCTTGATCACTGCTGCATCACCAGCACATAACAAGGCTGGCACAGAATAAGCATTTTAATAGGTATCTGTTGAAAGAATAGACTTAAGCTGGGGTCACAGCTTCTATGGTCTGGCAGAAAAAAACAAAATCTCAATGTCAAGCCAGATAACTTTGCTTTTTAATCCAGTAATCTTATAGTAACCAATGGAGAACAGGCATGAAGCACTGACTCTGTGCAGAAGACTTCTGCAAATGGGTGGGTAGAGACCACCAATGCCCTCATCCCCTTGTTAATACTCCTGGCAGGAAGTCCTAAGGGTCCTGCTTGGCCATCAGAGTAATGCAAATTTCTGTGTCTACAAAAGAGTCCTTGTGGGAACCCATTCCTCCAAAATGTTTCTACACAACACAAAGACTTTGTATGAGGGGGTAGGATAAAAATGACAAAACATCATGGTTAGCTAATTGCATGGTGATTCAGACCAAAGGCAAAACCCAGGTGGGCTTCTCAGCATTGTGGGTCTGACTTCACACCCTACCTTCCACCGAGGCATGCAATCAGAAGGCTTCCAGTGACCTCCGAGCTTGATGGTTGGGTCTTTGGAGAAGAGTTCATGAATGTAATCCATTGCAATTTCACTCATGTTTATGTCTATTGGGCCCTCTGAATGGTGAGAGGAAAAAGGGATTAAGAAGTCAGAAAATGGTAAGTTTTCCTCTGCCTGAGGTTTTAGTCTCTGGAGAAATGCAATGCTTTTTTAGCATAATGTGTTTTTAGCAGGGATGGAAGTCTTTTCCTCTACTTTCCATCTCGCTGCATTTTAGTTCCTCACTATTATCAGGGTAAAGAGGCAAATCAAGGAATTAAGGCTTTAGAGTTCTGCTTCCGTCAGGGGGCAGAAGAAATGAAGATTTTTAGCTGAGTTTTTTTCTTTTTTTGGCAGTCTGACTCTGTTGCCCAGGCAGAGTGCAGTGGTGCGACCTCAGCTCACTGCAACCTCCACCTCTGGGTGTAGGCAATTTTCCTGCCTCACCCTCCTGAGTAGCTGAGATTACAGGCATGCACCACCATACCCAATTAATTTTTTATTTTTAGTAGAGATGGGGTTTCACCTTGTTGGCCAGGCTGGTCTTGAACTCCTGACCTCAAGGGATCCACCCACCTTGGCCACCCAAAGTGCTGAAATTACAGGCATAAGCCACCTCGCCCGGCCTTTTTTTTTCCCCCCTTCAGTTTATTAGTATGTTTTAATAAATAGAGACAGAGTCTCATTATGTTGTCCAGGTTGGTCTCAAACTCCTGGGCTCCAGTGATTCTCCCAACTCGGCCTCCCAAACTCCTGGGATTAAAGGCCTGAGCCCCTGCACCTGGCTGCAGCTGAGCTTTTCTGAGAAGGAGAAATGCAGCTGAGCTTAGAGTCATGTCAGTTTTCTCCTGATACAAGTACAGACACACTACCTCTCTCAATCCATTCACCAGTGGCTCAGGACCCTGAAGATTATGTCCTAACTCAGAATGCTGGATATCTCTGACTTCAGTCAGTCAGGAAGTGGTACAATAACAATCTATAAATGCTACTGAAATAATGAACTGTGATAACACTAATTTTAGACCTGTCAAAGCCTATTTCTGATACACAAATCTCAGCCTTCCCAAACTAAGCTTATATCTAGATGCAGACAAATGCAGGTTTTAAAGGAAAACCTATATATGTGTGGTGAGACATGCAAATTAAACAGTAAGGCTTCCAACACGACTTCTATACTCATAATTAATTATTCATATATGGATGAGAATATGTTCAAATACCATGCATGACTATTTCTAACACTTTCTCTATTTTCACTATGTTTCAGCATAAAAGTCAACTTTGTAAATGTAAGATTTTCCTTTTCTTGATCTCACTTCTTAAAAAAAGTTTTAAAAACAGAAATGGGAACTATCTAAGCAGCCTAAAAACATAGCAAAGGTAAAAGAGTTTACTGTCCTTGTTTTAGATTACATGAGATTCAAAAACAGAACAAAAAGATCTAAGAATTTTTTAAACCAGCACTTTGTTAAGAAAATAACTTCCAAGCAAGGCATGGTGGCTCATGCCTGTAGTCCCAGCTACTCAGGAGGATGAGCAGGAGGATTGCTTGAGCCCTGAAGTTCGAGACCATCCTCGGCAACATAGTGAGACCCCCATCTCTAAGATCAGCACTATAGCCAGTGGGAGATTTATATTAAAAAGACAAAAGCTGATTGCCTATACAGTCATGTGCACTGATATTTTCACCAGTGATAGATGGCATATATGGTGGTTGCGTGAGATTAAAATGGAGTTGAAAATTTCCTATTGTCTAGTGATGACATAATACTGTTGTGTTACTCAAGTGTTTCTGGTGATGCTAGTATAAACAAATATACTGCACTGCCAATCATATAAAAGTATAACACAAGACTGGGAGCGGTGGCTCACGGCTGAGGCAGGCGAATCACGTGAGGCCAGGAGTTCAAGACCAGCTTGGCCAACATAATGAAACCCCAACTCTACTAAAAATATAAAAATTAGCTAGGCATTGTGGTGGGAGCCTATAATCCCAGCTACTTCTTGGAGGCTTAAGCAGGAGAATCACTTGATCCCAAGAGGCGAAGGTTGCAGTGAGCTGAGACCACGCCACTGAACTCCAGCCTGGGCAACAAGAGCGAAATTCTGTGTGCCCCCCCCCGCCGCCCCCAAAAAAGGTATGCACATACAATTTAAATTAGAGTACATCATACTCGATAATGATAAACTATGTTACTGCTTTATATATTTATTATTTTATATTTTTAAATCATTATTTTACCCTCTGACACAGGGTCATGCTCTGTTGCCCAGGCAGGTGGCACAATCATGGCACCCTGCAGCCTTGTTGTCTAGGCCTAGGTGGAAGGATTGTTTGAGGCCAGGAGTTCAAGACCAGCCTGGGCAACACAGTAACACCCGTCTCTTAAAAAATAATAATAACTTAAAAATTAGCCAGGCATGTCAACACACACTTGTAGTCCTAGTTACTCAAGAGGCTGAGGCGGGAGGATTACTTGAGCCCAGCAGTTCGAGGCTGCAGTTTTTTAAAACTTTTTATAAACTTCTTAAAAGTTAACAAGTTCATAAAGTAAAAAGGTATAATAGTAAGGTTAATCTATCATTAAAGAAAGAAAAATCTTTTCTGAATCAATTTAGTGCAGCCTAAGTGCTCAAGTATACAGTAGTGCACAGTCATGTCCCAGGCCTTCACATGCACATTCCCTTCGCATCCACTCACGCACTGACTCACCAAAGCAACCTCCATTCCTGTAAGTTCCATTCATGGGAAGTGCCCTACACAGCTGTACCATTTTTTATCTTTTATACCTTATTTTTTACTGTACCTTTTCTATGTTTAGATACACAAATACTTACCATGGAGCTACAATTGCTGTATAGTACCATGCTGCACAAATCTGTAGCCTAGAGCAACAGGCCACACCATACAGCCTAGGAGTGAAGTAGGCTACACCATCTAGATTTGTGGAAGTATACTCTAGGAGGTTCCCACAACAATAAAATCACCTAATGATGCACTTCTCAGAAAGTCCCGATTGTGAAGCTATAAATGACTGTATTAATACTTTCTCTAGGAAGTTCAAACAGAACCCAAGTTACAAAGGACAAGCAAGTGCAAAAGAAAGAGTGAAAAGGCGGAAAATGGTACCGAAGAACACAGGCAACCTTGCAGCAGGCTTTGAGGAGCCAGGAGCACAAAAGACTCGCACAGACTCTGTTTCCAGTGGCAGGGAGGTATTTATATTCTCTATATAGGTAGACAGAGAGATCAAGAGTGCATTCCCCTTTATCCATTTTAAAAGCAGAGGAAGATGGGCCAGAGCTGTACTCACTCATGGAAGGGAGCCTTTCAGGGCAGGTATGGTTTGCAAAGTAGGTGAAGTCTTCAGGAAGAAATGTTGTAGTTTGAAGGAAGGTTTCACTGTGGTTTAAGTCAAGAGGATAATCTAGGGAGGTAAAGGAAAAAAGGCAACTCAGACTGGTATGTGTAATCAACGGTGCAATTATTAGATGCCTACCAAACGAGTCTTTTTCTTAGCTATCATCTTGGTGGAAAGAGACAGGACTCTGGACTATCGCTTTGATGCAGCTGAAAATGTGAACTCATCAACAAAAATGTTAACCAAATGACGTATTTAACCTGTGCTCCTATTCCTGTTGATTTTACAGGTTTATATGCATTCAGTTTACAGTCAACTGTCATTAAACATCATTTTTAAAATAGCAATCTCCTACCTCTCATTTCTTTCTTTTTTTTTTTTTTTTTTTTTAAAAAGACGGGGTTTTGCCATGTTGGACAAGCTGCTTTTGAACTCCTGCTCAAGTGATCCACCCAACTCGGCCTCCCAAAGTGCTGGAATTAAGGTACCCGGCCTCATTTATTTTCTAAAAGAAGGATCTGCCCTTCTTTTGGCCAAGAATTTTAGCATTTATATCAGTATTCACCTCTGTCAGCCCGTACGGCTGGTCGTGATGCTTCTGTTTTCAGTCTTATCTACTGGCCTCCCACTATGGGAGGTGAAGACGTTATTTCCTTCCTCCTGCCACCACTGCCACACGACCCCTTTCCATTCCCCAGTCTCCCAACAGTCACCGGTCACAGCCGTGGTTAGGACAATCTTCAGTCTTTGTATTATGATGCTGCTGTAAGTACTAGTCATAGATGAGAAATGTGCAAAGTTACGCATCCTGTTTCTGTTTGCTCAGTTGTATATGCAATGATTCTAATTCAACACCACACCTTTCACCAAGATATTTCCTCCTAATACATGCATTAGGTATTCTCTGAACTTCATTCACCCAGAGGTGGTGTGGCTGCTTCTGGCTTTCTTCCATGCCAAATGTGCAGAAGCCACCTCCCTTGCACCCCGCCACCAGAGCCCTGGAGACTACCATCACCTATCCAAGACTGTCCTAAATCTCATTTTCCCTAAGTTCCACTTTTCCCTTCTTCTTGCTTGGGTAGCACATCCTCCAAGTAGCATCTTAGGAAGGGATGGCAGTTCGGGCAGCGGGAGGAGTGGCAGCGGCCAGGTAGCCCACCCAGCTTTACAAAGGCTTTCGGCCCACAGGCACCCAGCACGCACCTCCCCGCCGCCAGGATGCCCAAAAGAAAGGTCAGCTCCGCTGAAGGGGCCATCAAGGAAGAGCCCAAGAGGAGATCTGAGCAGTTGTCAGGGAAACCTCCTGCAAAAGTGGAAGCGAAGCTGAAAAAGGCAGCAGCAAAGGATAAATCTTCAGATAAAAAAGTGCAAACAAAAGGGAAAGGGGGAGCAAAGAGAAAACAGGCTGAAGTGGCTATCCAAGAAAAGAAAGAACATTCACCTACAGAAAATGGGGAAATGAAAACTCAGAGTCCAGCCCCTGATGAAGCAGGAAAGAAGCCAAGTCTGATTAATACCATATACCATGTCTCTCAGTGGTCCCTGTCTCCCTTCTTGTACAATCCAGAGGAATATAATACAAAGCATATTAAATGGCAATATGGAGTCAGTCCTGCATTTAATGTCTTGAACATTTTAAATTACTTCCATTCCCATGTTGTTTTTTAGTAGAGTTGCTTCCTAAAGAAAACTACTCTGATCCTGGCTCTCCCTGTCAGAACTGTGTGCACTCTGTAACATCTTTGGTGTGGTAGTCCTGTTTTCCTACCTGTGCTGTGAAAGATTAAACGTTTGAATAAGTAGTGTACATGCTATTCAGCTGTGAATTGCTGGGATGTATGTTACAGCTTATCTGCATGTGAAGACACAGGTACTTGATAGTCTCTTAAGGAAAATCTGCTTCCAAATTTTAAGTTGGAAAGCCACTGGAATAACAGGCCGGGCGCGGTGGCTCAAGCCTGTAATCCCAGCACTTTGGGAGGCCGAGGAGGGTGGATCACGAGGTCAAGAGATCGAGACCATCCTGGTCAACATGGTGAAACCCCGTCTCTACTAAAAATACAAAAATTAGGTGGGCACGGTGGCGCGCGCCTGTAATCCCAGCTACTCGGGAGGCTGAGGCAGGAGAATTGCCTGAACCCAGGAGGCGGAGGTTGCGGTAAGCCGAGATCGCGCCATTGCACTCCAGCCTGGGTAACAAGAACAAGAGCAAAACTCTGTCTCAAAAAAAAAAAAAAAAAAAAAAAAAAAAAAAAAAAAAAAGAATTAAAATGCATGGCTTTTTAGATTTTTGTTATACATGTTAAGAATTGTGTACAAATTGAAATGTCTGTACTGATCCTCAACCAATAAAATCTCAATTATGAAATTAAAAAAAAAGAAGGGGTAATAAGTATGGCTTTGAAACCTTACATATCTGGATATAGTTTTTGCTCTTCCTCACTTGATTCATAGATCGGTTGGGTTTACAGAATTCGAGGCTAGCAATTCTGCACAACTGTAAAGATGCTATCCCACTGCCTTCTCGATTGCACTGTGGCTGTTAACTCTGAAGCCATTCAATTTTTGACCTTTGTAAACAACCAATAATTTCATGCTAGAAACGTTAAGGACTTTCTCTTTGGTCAGGAAATGTCATGTTGGAGTGCCTTGCTGTAAGTCTGCTTTCCCTTACTGCGCTGGCCATTTGGTGGGCCTTTAGTTTGCTAATTCATGTCTTTCTGTTCTGGAATGTTTGGGGGGGGGTATTCTCTCAGTGATGATTCCTCCCTTCTGTACTCTGTGCTGTCTTTCTGAAGAATACAGAACAAGAATTGGATGTGGGACCTCCTGGTACTGTAAGTACCTCTTATTTTCCATCTTGCCATTTATCTGTTCTATGTTCCGTATTTCCTCAACTTTACTCAATCCTTGCTTTAATCATCATCTCTGCTATCATATTTTTAATTTTGAAGAGCTCTTGTTTCCTGAATGCTTATTTCTTACAATATTCTTGTTTCAGGTTTGCAGTCATTTTTCTCCTCTCTTACTGAACTCTCCAGTGTCAATATCGTTGGGTCTTTCCCCCTGGTCTGATCAGATTCCCCAGATAAATCCACTCAAATCTCCTGACAGAATGATAGAGTCCTGACTATAAACATCCGGAAACTAAGAAGGAAGAGAAAGAAGTTGGGGCATATGTAATCCTCATCTTTTCAAACACTGTGGTCATGCCAGGTATCCTCAGGTTGAGGAGCTCTGTTTTGCCATCTCTAGGGTTACTAAGCCTGCAGCTCTTGCCAGGATGGGGAGATGGGTGTGGGTACCTGACTGCTTTTTAATAGCTTTCAAACTCTCCTTTAGTTGCCTCTTTTGTTCCTACTTCCAATATTGCTAGTTCCCGAGCTTCTGGGGGATCCTGGGGTGGATGCTGGTTTTCCTGTTGCTGCTTTGAGCAGTCAGTCTTCTTTGGTTTGTTAAGTCCTTTATCAGTGGTTCTGCTTTCTACCTAGCAAGATTTTTTGCTGTGGTCTCCTTTCCTGTTCTCATCCTCAAGGGTTTATGCCATTAAAAAACCATGAACGTATGCCCCTGTTAGTGGATATGAAGAGTGTGAAGGCTGATGTCTTTTCTTAGGGGGCTGTAGTTGTAGAGTAGGAAGAGGGCCTTCTAGCTTTAGTTTTTACAGATGAATGACTGGAACAACATACACAGGACTCAGACCAGGAGCCCTGGCTAATGCATGACAAGCTCCAACTACACTCTGGATTAGAGATCTTTCCAGTATTCTGTACTGCTTTTTTTGTTTTTTCCCACGGAATATTAAATCCTTTTGGATTCATGCTGATTCCATGAAAATTAAAACATCCTGTTCAAATTCACTTTGTACCCTAGAATTCTAGAATCTTCAACTAAGATATTTTTTAAAAAGCATTATGAACAGGTTTCCAAGAATCAAATGGCTAACACATTGAATCCTTTTTATATGCACACGGCTGCCTACTCTGCAAGTACTCTGGGAACAAAATTCAATGAGAGGCAACTTGAGAATTTTAAGTGTCTTAACAAGTGAAGGAACAGAATGCTTTCTGTCCTTTTTAGTAGTAGCTTTCCTGAAAAACACTAAGCCTACATTTATAAAGAATAGTAGAGACTAATTTATACAGACATAAACCAGGCTGGGTGTGGTAGCTCATGCCTATAATCCCAGCACTTTGGGAGGCTGAGGCAGGAGGATTGCCTGAGCCCAGGAGGCCAAGACCAGCGTGGGAAATATGCTGGGAACCTGTCTCTACAAATAATTTAAAAAATTAGCCAGGCACGGTAGTGCATGCCTGTGCTCCCAGCTACTTGGGAGGCTGAGGCAGGAAGATCACCTGAGCCTGGGAAGTCGAGGCTGCAGTGGGCCATGATCACACCATTGCACTACAGCATGGGTGACAGAGTAAGATCCTATCTTTAAAAAAACAAACCAAACAGCAACAACAAAAAAACAAACAAAAACCCATGAACCAAGACAGAACCTTAAAGGTAATAATTTAAACGGAAATTCTTTGAGCTCAGCTCATACATGCAAACCTGGCCTGGGTTGAACCTTCTGGAGGTAACTACTTCAAAAATCTATGTGAAGAATCCGTCAATCTAATTAGTACTCTGGATGAATCTAATCCATGAAAGTATTCTCCTTAAGAAAAAAATGAAAAGACCTCACAAGTACTAGAAAATGTCCCTGTGCTTGTGATATGCCCATGTGTGGCAAGAGAAGATGGCTGGGAACAGTGGCACAGTCAATACATTCACGAGAAGGCAGTGAAATTCCCAAAGGTATCACACTAAGTCTTTTCAGAAGCAAATCAACAAAAACGAAGATAATCAGCATTCTGGTCAATGACTGACCCAAGCCCTAGAGCTAGAACCTAACCAGGAAACTAGAATTTAAAAAACAGGAGACAAGAGACAAAGTATCTCTAACTGTAATGATTCAACTATTTGGAGTTTGGAGAATCACTTAAACCCGGGAGGCGGAGGTTGCAGTGAGCCAAGGTTGTGCCATTGCATTCCAGCCTGGGCAACAAGAGCAAAACTATGTCTCAATAAATAAATAAATAAATACAACTAAATAAAAATTTAAATAAGGTCTACTTGGGAAGCCAAGACAGGCGATCACTTGAGGTCAGGAGTTCAAGACCAGCCTGGCCAATATGGTGAAACCCTGTCTCTACCAAAAACACACAAAAAAGCCAGATGTTGTTGTGGGTGCCTGTAATCCCAGCTTCTCAGGAGGCTAGGGCAGGAGAATCGCTTGAACCCAGGAGGTGGAGGTTGCAATGAGCCAAGATTGCACCACTGCACTCCAGCCTGGGCAACAGGGACAAAACTCTGTCTCAAATAAATAAACAAATCAGTCTACTTTTCAGTAGCAATAGAAGCCTTTTAAAATAAAAGAGAGAAAATTAATTGCTCATGACCAGGTAAAACTATATGCAAACCAGGTGCGGTGGCTCAAGCCTGTAATCCCAGCACTTTGGGAGGCCGAGGAGGGTGGATCACGAGGTCAAGAGATCGAGACCATCCTGGTCAACATGGTGAAACCCTGTCTCTACTAAAAATACAAAAAAAATTAGCTGGGCATGGTGGCATGTGCCTGTAATCCCAGCTACTCAGGAGGCTGAGGCAGGAGAATTGCCTAAACCCAGGAGGCGGAGGTTGCGGTGAGCCGAGATTGTGCTATTGCACTCCAGTCTGGGTAACAAGAGCGAAACTCCGCCTCAAAAAAAAGAGAAAGAAAGAAAGAAAATGGGAGAACAAGCCAGGCATGGTGGCTCACACCTGTAATCTCCGTATTTTGGGAGGCTGAAGTGAGTGGATCACTGAGGTCAGGAGTCCAAGACCAGCCTGACCAACATTGTGAAACCCCACTTCTACTACAAATACAAAAAATTAGCCAGGCATGGTGGCATGCACCTGTAGTCCCAGCTACTTGGGAGGCTGAGTCAGGAGAATCGCTTGAACCCAGGAGGTAGGGGTTGAAGTGAGCGAAGAAAGCACCACTGCACTCCAGCCTGGGCAACAGAGTGAGACTTTGTCTCAAAAAAGAAAATGGGAAAACAGGCCAGCTCACACCTATAATCCCAGCACTTTGGAGGGCCAAGGTGGGTGGATCATCTGAGGTCAGGAGTTCAAGATCAGCCAGACCAACATGGTGAAACCTCATCTCTCCTAAAAATACAAAAATTAGCTGGGCGTGGTGGTGAGTACCTGTAATTCTAGCTACTCAGGAGGCTGAGGTAGGGGAATCGCTTGAACCTGGGAGGCAGAGGTTGCAGCAAGCCAAGATCATGCCACTGCATTCCAGCCTGGGCGACAGAGCAAGACTCTGTCTCCATAGAAAAAGAGAGAGAGAGAGAGAGAGAGAGAGAGAGAGAGAGAAAGACAGAAAATGGGAAAACAACAGACCCATACCTACAGGTTCAAATGGCTGCTGATATCATGGGCTTATTGGCCAACATTTCTGTCCAACAGCAGCTGCTTATTCAGCATTGGTTCAGACCAGTGGTTCAGCAGCCTTGGGTGCACATTAGAATCATCTAGGAAGCTTTCAAAAATCCTAACACCAGGCCGGGTGTGGTGGCTCATGCCTGTAATCCCAGCACTTGGGAGGCCAAGGTGAGCAGATCATTTGAAGCCAGGAGTTTGAGACCAGCCTGGGCAACATGGTGAAACCTCATCTCTACTAAAAACACAAAAATTAGTCAGGCATGGTGGCACGTGCCTAGTGTCCCAGCTACTCAGGAGGCTGAAGCAGGAGAATCACTGGAACCTACAATGTGGAGGTTGCAGTGAGCCAAGATGGCACCACTGCACTCCAGCCTGGGTGACAGAGCAAGACTGTCTCAAAACAAAAACAAACAAATGCAATCCTAACAACCAGGCTACACCTCAGACCAATTAAATAAGAATCTCTAGCAGTCCGGAATAGACATCAGTACTTTGGAAAGCTCCTAGGGAATTCCAACGTATAGCTAAGTTTGGTATTGCTACCCGAATACCTAGAGGGGGTAAAAACCTGCCTTCTCCCTTGTGTTACCAAATCCAGTTGAGAAGGAACTGGAAGTGCTGACCAATGGATCCCAGCGAGAATCACCACTTTCCCCACCCATTTGAGAAAAGACCAAACACTTGCCTCTCTGTTTGAAAAAAGTATGGAAATTTATATATACTAGAAAGTTGCCATTGGTACAAATATCTGTGAAACATTGAGAATTAGCATTCTTCAAGAGTTAGTCCACTTAAGGATGACTACCTACTGGGAGGGTAGCCACATCAAAGACTATAGACTGGACACCTAAAACCAGAGAGAAAGAGGTGACGATGACCCACTCCACTAACAGCACACAAAGCACACCAGCATGACTTTACTCACTCTGCAGATTCACAATCTCACAAACCAACGGCGTTCAGTGACCACAGGAATCTTCTCCTGGTCACTACTTCAGGCTTATTTCCAGGTTCACAGTCCCCATCCCCAAAAGTCTATTTTCATTCAATAATCACTACCATTGCTTTTAAACTTAAAGAAAACCAACAATTACTTAAATGTTACCCTAAGCTTGTGAGCTAAGCTTGGTCTAATGCAGACACCTAAATGTGGGTATGCGCCTCAGCATTATTTCAGCAGGGGAGGGGGCATAGTTCAGGTTACCACCATGAAGCCAACAGTGCTCCAGGCAGAAGTGACTGGGCCAGAGGTGTCAATCATTTGGCTGTCTCAGCAGTGTTGGGCCCAGAATACCCTCTCTGACTGTGCTAGATAGACCACTGCTTTGGAAAAAAAGAAGAAGGATAGGTTTTCATTGAATATACTTTCAATGAAACACTATTTTCTGTTCTTTTCAGTACAGGTTGGGTATCCCTTATCTGAAATGCTTAGGACCCGAAGTGTTTCAGATTTCTGACTTTTTCGAATTTTGGAATATCTGCATTATACTTTTCGCTGATCAACCCAAATCTAAAACTCTAAAATCTGCTCCATTGAGTATTTCCTTAAGTGTCGTGTTGGCACTCAAGGTTTTATCATGCATGGATTCTGGAGCAGTGTGGAGTTGGTAATTTCTGATTTGGGATGCTCAACCTGTACTTACTCACCAAGGGAAGTGCTATTGACACAATAGCTCATCAGGATGGTGACCTCCTTAGAAACACACAACACTTAAAACTGGCTTTCTTGTTAAATTTGTTCATTCATGCATACAAAAATAATTTACCAAGTACTTCCTATGTGCTAGGCAGTTTATAAGGTACTAAGGATACAAAGATGACAAAAGGAACAAAGCCATTACTGGGATTCAGAGGGCAGGCCCTGGAGTCACAGAATCAGCAAACCCTAACCCCGCTGCTGCATCAACTTTTATGACTTAGGCATGCCTTGTTCCTTTGATCCCTACAATGGGGACAGAGTAACTATATTCTGGGTTCTTGTGAGGAACTACATGAAATCATGTGAGTCAAGTATCTAATCAACAGCAAGAGAGTCCCTGATGGCAAAGACTTCCAATCTAGAAATAAACATATTAAACAAGAAATAGATTGTTCTAGCCAGAGAGATACAAGGAAGGATTATTTGGGTATATGATAATTTGTAAATAAAAGCACACCAAGTTCAATACTAATGGGTCATTGGATACACCCACCAAGGGTGAAACTCACCTCTGTACTCAGTTTTTTGAAGACAACAACTCAAGAAGTAGTGAAATCCTGTGTTGCCATACCAGCAGTGTGTGGAAATGGGGTCCTGCTATCCGCCCCTCTTAACTTCTGAAAGAATTGCTAGTACTGCCAAATGCCCAGAGAGACAGACATTCTAGCCTCATCTAATGCTGCAGAAGTATGATATCTAGAATGGATAAATGTCATGAGGGTACAAATGTTCCCCTACTCAGTGCTATGCAGGGAAGAACGTTCTGGAAGGACAGTCAGTACTCCCTAGTTTCTTCACCTAACTAGAATCAGGTTGCAGGGTTTAGGGAAAGAGTCACATGACCAAGCTGCTCCATCTTCCCCAAGATTATATGTACTATGTATGAAAAATGGAAACAGGCCAGGCACGGTGGCTCAAGCCTGTAATCCCAGCACTTTGGGAGGCCAAGGAGGGTGGATCACGAGGTCAAGAGATCGAGACCATCCTGGTCAACATGGTGAAACCCCGTCTCTACTAAAGATACAAAAAATTAGCTGGGCATGGTGGCGTGTGCCTGTAATCCCAGCTACTCAGGAGGCTGAGGCAGGAGAATTGCCTGAACCTAGGAGGTGGAGGTTGCGGTGAGCCGAGATCGCGCCATTGCACTCCAGCCTGGGTAACAAGAGCGAAACTCCGTCTCAAAAAAAAAAAAAAAGAAAGAGGTTGGGCGCAGTGGCTCATGCTATAATACATACCAGCAGCACTCTGGGAGGCAGAGGTAGGTGGATCACTTGAGGTCAGGAGTTTGAGAGTTTGAGATCAACCTGGCCAACATGACGAAACCCAGTCTCTACTGAAAATACAAAAATTAGCTGGGCATGATGGTGTGCTCCTATAATCCCAGGTACTCAGGAAGCTGAGGCACGAGAATCACCTGAACCGAGAACTAGAGGTTGCAGTGAGCCAAGATTGCCCATTGCACTCCAGCCTGGACAACAAGAGCAAAACTCCACCTCAAGAAGAAAAAAAAGTAGTCATCCAGTTGCTCTTAATGTATTGTGCCACAGTTTAAATATGTTTGTCCCCCCACAAACTTCATGCTGAAATCTGATCCTCGATGACGGAAGTGGAACTATAGGAGGTCCTTGGGTCACAGAGGCAGATCTCTCATAAATGGCTTGCTGCTATTGTGGTAATGAGTGAGTTCTCCTCATTAGCTCCCACAAGAGCTGGTTGTTAAGAAGAGCCTAGCACTGCCCTCCTCCCACCTGCCACACTGCTTCCTCTCACCATACACACTGGCTTACCTTCCCCTTCCACCACAAGTGGAAGCAGCCTGAGGCCCTTCCAGAAGCAGATGCTGGTGTCACACTTTTGTACAGTCTGCAGAACCATGAGCCAAATAATACTTTTTCTTTGTAAATTACCCACCCTCAAGTACTCTTTCATAGCAACACAAACAGACTGAGACATATTGTTAACAAAAATGAACGAGGATTCATTTGGCAAAAGCTTTTTCAGCAGTAAAGTAAAACTCAGCCAAATCCCTCTTTTACAATGCACTTTTCCCACAGAAAATAATTATTGCAACCAAATTTACCTCTCTTGGGAGGAGACATTCTGATCAGACCCCCTCTTTACTAAAAATATACCTGAGTCATTTACACTGCTGTTCCTCTTGGCATAAGCACTCCTAAGCACCTGCTCATAAACCTGAGCACCGATTGTTCTCACGTTGTCCCGGATCAGAATGCCTTGAGCTTGCATCATGAAGAGGTAGGTGTTCACTGTAGAAAGCAAAAGGGAAGGAGAAAAAGAGGCAGATTCAGAAGCAATCATTTAAAAAAAAAATGTACCACATAGCTATGGATTCTTTTTATTTTTGGACCTTTAAATCCTCTTTTAGTTCTTTTAAAACCCTACACGGCCATAACTCTATTTTCCATACCCTTTAAGACACAAACATCCTTTGAGTAGCTAGTAGGGTTTAGCCAGAAATTGAATTTGAATTTCTGTCAATATTCAGCAGTTGTAGAAAAACCATAAACTTAAAAAAATATATTCCTTCTGGTCTCCAAATACCCAGTCTGTATTCTAGCACTCTGTTCATCAGAAAGACCTTCATGAATTAGTTAAAACTTTTTTTTAAAGGCTTCTGCTCTCTTTAAGTTCACCTTCTCAGAATGAGTTCATGGTTCTACACAGAGAAAAAGACCACCGACTCACTCTCTGCCTGCTGGAAGCACTGAAGTCACAGTCTTGTCTTGGCAACATTTTCAAAGTGGCAGACTGAGGCTCCAGTCACTTACCCTTAGGGGATTTGGAAAGAAAAAGGAGTAACCAAGAATATTTGCAGTGCGCACTATCCACCAAGCCTAGCCCAAAAGTCCAAAGTAATGAGGACAAAGTATGGTCCAAGGTCAATTAAAACATGCTCTTAACAAACTAGTGGGGCCGGGCACAGTGGCTCACGCCTGTAATCCTACCACTTTGGGAGGCCAAGGTGGGTGGATCACCTGAGGTCAGGAGTTCAAGACCAGTCTGGCCATCATGGTGAAACCCCATCTTTAAAAAAAAAAAAAAAATTTTAAAACAACAACAACAACAACAAAAACAAATTAGCATTCAGATTAACCAGCCAATCTTGTCTTCTTTGGAACGTGATCTCCACTTTCATTTTCCTGAAGTTGCTCTATGATATAAAACTAGAAGGTCACAAACACATCAAGATGTAATTCCTATATTCTACTCGCAAACTTCAGTGCTATGCCATCTATTTTCAAGAAACAGTGAGTTTAAAACTAGTTTCTTAACCACACTCTAATTCCCTCAATTTCCCTTCATCATTGTGAAAGGGGGATGTGTTACAGGGGTGGAACATTTACAAATCTAAATTCTGTGGGTGTATGGGGTGATGCATCTAACCACTTGGCTAACCTCGGGACCAGGCCCTAGTGCCCCCTCCACACTTAATATATCTGGCCTTGGGATGTGGATTCCGGCTCTTTGATGAGACACTTGGTTGACATTATATTTCATCACTATTAAAGCAGTATCCGATACACATTGGGCAGGAAATAATGACTGAATGGAATAAGGACAAAGCTTAGAAGTTAAATGTATTTCAAGCTAGCGTGTTTGGTGCTTTATACTGGAAATGACAGAGGTGGGGGTGGGATAGCATAATGTCAAAAACCCCACGTGGCCAACATTAAATAAAGACATGAAACCTTTCAAAGGATTTCAAATCATCTCTAAGGTGTATCCTAAGCCATAAAATAATAAGCAAAAAGGACCAGTATTCAGAATACTTTCAGAAATCGGTTTCAGATGCGGCCTTGCATTGACTGGGAGACAGCCCTATGCTTTCTCTGGCATGGTTGGAGAATAGATCACATACTGTGTTTATTCTCTAAGTAGCTAGGAAAGATTCTAAGGAAAAAAAGCAGCTTCAAATTATTAAAAAAGTGTAACTCTGCGAACTCTCTGAAAGCAAGAGTACCACCTCATTTTCTGTTTACAGAATATAGCACATTGCCAGTCATAGTAGGGGTACAACCTGTAAATACTTGTTAAATCTAAAACTTAAACTTCATCTAATATAAAATTTCTAATTCAGTCCTGTCGTCCTTTTTTTTTTCTTTTTAATCATTTGAGCTGAACAGTATGTTCCCACTGCCTTGAAATCTTTTCATCCCCAACATATTACTAAGCCAGTTGTCTTCAATAATAAAAAAAAAAATTATTTAATTTGCGGTAGCTTTGACTTTTTTAAATTAAAAAAACAAACAAGTATTTATTGAAAATTTCATGTAAAGCTTTTAGTTAGGTGCCAAGAATTCACTACCCACTTTCTTCTGTACTGCCAAGTACCGCAAAGTACCGCAAAGTTGCTTAGACCCTCCTTTAAACACTCTTCCTTTCTTAGCTTTGAATCCCAACCACAGGATTCCTCTATGGCAGTCATTCCCTAACACTACACACCCATCTCTCAGAGTGCTTTTAAGAAGCCTGCTTCCTAGGTCCCACTACAGGGACTGATGCAGCTGGTCTGAGTGGGGCCCATGAATTTGTACTTGTAACAAGCTCGAAGGTGATAAATGGTGCTGGACTAAGGACCACACTTTTATGATCACTGCTCTAGGGAACTCTGGCCACATAATAAATGTAAGCAACATTTATTGAGCACTGAATTACAGAATTCCTTATATCATTTAATCCTCATAATTATCCTAAGAGGCAAGTAACACTACCCAGTTTACAAACAACTTCCAGACTTCAGTTTCTCCAAGTATCTTCACCAAGGTTAAGTAAGAGCACTGCGATTTGAACCAGGTGTATCTGTGCTCCTAACCACTACTAAGCTTTTATACCTTTCTCATCCATGTTGTAGCCACAACCTCTCTCTGAAAGACTTCAAGCACCCACATGGCTTAAATGCTTACTCTTAAGGAAATAGATCACATCTTTATCACAAGCACAAAGCTGACAGATGGATCTTTCTTAATTACAGATTTATCCACACTGTTCCTGCTCAAAAGCCTTCTCTGTCTCTTGCCTTCATCCCTGAATTGCTGCTGCAGCAATGGGTCTGCTCTTTCGGCTGTGCAAATCCTGTTAATCCTTCATACTTCTTGGCGAAGCTTTCAGTGCCATGTCAGTCTTCCCCTTTTTCCAATTTCTGTGCTAGTCTACTATAGACTATCAAAACTTTAATGTGTTTACATGTTGACTTAGTTTGCTGTCTCGTGTCAATCTTGTCATTCAACTAATAAATTCACGTAAACCACTTACTGTTTTTTTCTAATTATCCAAAAGAACCAGCACAACGCTTAACAAATCAAAACTGAGGGAGTAAAGATTGCCAAACAAAAGGAAATAATCATAAAATCCACAACTTGGGATTGGATAGGATTTCAAGAAACTCTCATCAAAACCATCTAATGCTTCCCACTACTGGGGAACTATAACCTCCAAGACCACAGAGCAACAGGGAAAATATAGCCATCAGCAAAGAAAATCTACACTGGCACAATCTTGGGTCACTGCAACCTCCGCCTTCCAGGTTCAAATGATTCTCGTGCCTCAGCCTCCCGAGTAGCTGGGAATAAAAGTGCATGCCACCACGCCTGGTTAATTTTTGTATTTTTCTTAGAGTCGGGGTTTCACCATGTTGGCCAGGCTGGTCCAGTCACTTTTTCCCACTGGTTCTCTCTCAACCCTCCCCAGCCACCCATTCCCCATCAGGCCCCTTCCATGTGTGCCCCTCCCATGATATCTTCACGACTTCACCCCACATCCTGGCTGCTCTCTCTGAATACTGGCCCAGTTGTCTACACTTGACAAAGGGTGGTGACCACACTAACAGTGGTCCAAGTGCAGTAGAATGAACCTAGAAACACACAAACCACCAGCAGCTTTGTTCCATCTGTTACCAAAGATCTGTCAAAGCAAGCCCTTTTTTTTGGAGACTCAAAATGCACAGTAACTCAAGGCCCAGAAATTCCCAGAAGAGAGCTGTTTAGTTATCTAGCTTGCCATTTCCCAAATGAGCACATCAAGTGAGTCTCTGCAGCACTTAGTTTGGGATATTTCTATAAACAGAGTTTTTAAACTTCCATTACATGGTTAGGTAATCAATCTTTGCTGAATGTTGTTAGTAAACAGCAGTCATACCCTATTACCAATTCATATCAAGCTTGCTAGAGGCAAAATTCCCTTTATCTATTAGAGATGCTAAATTGCCCTTCTCCTGTGCAGTGCCCATGCAGTTGGTTATACAGATCAAACTGTCAGACCTTTCAGGTGTCTTTATTAAAAGTCTTGTTACTGGCTGCAGGCAGTGGCTCATAACTGTAATCCCAGCACTTTAGGAGGCAGAGGCAGGAGGATCACTTGAGGCCAGGAGTTCAAGACCAGTCTGGGCAATACAGCAAAACCCCATCTCTACAATAATAAATTTTGAAAATACTAGCTAAGTGTGGTAGCAGGCACCTGTAGTCCCAGCTACTCACCCTGGAGATCAAGGCTACAGTGAACCATAATTTTGCCACTGCACTCCAGCCTGGGCAACAGTGAGACACTGTCTGATTAACAACTAAAAAGAAATCTTGTTAATAAATTTAGCCCATGGCTCTTGCCTATACTAGGAAGTACATATGCATGAACATGTTGGTTTCAATCTAAATTATCTCATTTAAAACTCCTATCTCTATGAAGTTGATATCATCTGGAGCATTTATTTTAGATAAGGAAGTCAAGTGGGGTGGGGGCAGTTTGCCCAAGGTCATATGGTCAGTGAAGTCAAAACCAGAGGTAGACTGAGGTGTTGCATACATTTTGATGAGCCTTACTTTGTTTTCTTTTTCTCTGTTTTTGGAGACAGAATCTTGCTCTGTCACTGAGGCTGTAGTGCAGTGGCTTGATCTTGGCTCACTACAACCTCCACTTCCCAGTTCAAGCCACACTCCTGCCTCAGCCTTCTCAGTAGTTGGGATTACAGGCATCTGCCATCATGCCCAGCTAATTTTTGTAGAGACGGAATTTTACCAAGTTGGCCAGGCTGGTCTTGAACTCCTGACCTCAGGCAATCCACCTGCCTTGGCCTCCCAAAGTGCTGGGATTATGGACGTGAGCCACCGCACCTGGCCAATTTTGGAAATTCTGAAAGCAGTATTCTCCAACAACCTGGTCCTGAGGAATAGTGGCTGAATCACAGTTAAAACAATTTTAGGTTGGTTTACAGTGGTTAAATCCTCCATTGTTTCAACAAGTCTACTGAGCACCT